GTAGCTCTTCTTCAACAACACTTGTAACCTCAACAACAACAACATCTGCTACCGTATCAGCATCAGCATGTCCCACAGCATTCACATCAATTCCAGCCCAGAGCTTCATCACCAACATGAACCCTGGATGGAACCTGGGCAACACCCTCGACGCTGTGCCAGACGAAACCAGTTGGGGGAACATCCTTACCCCCGCTTCAGTGTTCGACGACGTAAAGGCTAAGGGCTTCAAGGGAGTCCGCCTTCCAGGTTCGTTCTTGTATCCTAGATATAAAAATCCCTGCTAATAGCACCCCGAACCAGTTACCTGGGCCGACCATTTCTCCACGGGCTCTCCCTCATGGACAGTCACCCCGGCCTGGATGGATCGCGTTGAAACTGTCGTCGACTACGCTCTCGCACGCGACCTCTATGTCATTCTCAATGTCCACCACGACTCCTGGGAATGGGCTGACTTCTCAGCCTCTGGTGCGAACGTCACCATGATCGAAGAGAAATTCGTCAGTCTCTGGACTCAGATTGGCACAAGGTTCAAGTGCAAGTCTTCTCTTCTTGCGTTCGAGCCATTGAACGAGCCAGTTGGAACTACAGAAGCGCACGGTACACAAATGAACAGGATGAACATGTTGTTCTTGCAGACCATCAGAGCGGTCGGCGGATACAACGCTCAGCGTGTTGTTACGCTTGTTGGGCTCGGTGAAGACAGTGTCAAGACTTCGCAGTGGTTTGAATTCCCCAGCGGATACGAATCCCAGCCTTGGGCCCTGCAGTACCACTACTACTCGCCTTGTAAGAGATCTTCTTCTGATAATTTGAACTATATAATATACTGACAAGAGTAAATAGATATGTTCACTTTCGGAGCATGGGGAGCTACCACTTGGGGTTCTGATGCGGATAAGACAGCTATGGAGGCAGACATCGCCGGCATGCGAGCCAACTTCACCGATGTCCCATTGATCATTGGAGAATGGAACGCCTTTGCGGCAAACACTGAGAATGCGGCCAGGTGGAAGTACTACGATCATCTCATGAAGTTGGGGGTTAAATACAACACCGCCACTGTGCTTTGGGTCACTGGATGGGGTATGATCCTTTAGTTTCTCCGATTGGTTCCAAATAATAATGAATACTAACTCATTCATGCGTCTGTATAGATGATCTCAACCGTAGTACTCACGTCTGGCGCAACGAAGTCGACGTCAATATTGTCATCTCCGGCACCAAGGGCGTTGCCAACTCCCTCCCGGACAGCACTACAGACACCTCTGCCACCACACAATCCTCTTCTGCCTTCATCTTCCACAAGGTCAGCGATGCTGTCTCTGCCCAGACTCTCCCCTTCCAGCTTAATGGCAACACCGTCAGCTCCATAAAGTCGTCCGCCAAGACTCTTGTTGCCGGAACGGATTACTCCGTCTCGGGTTCAAACATTGTCTTCGCCACCAGCTACCTGTCAACTTTATACTCGGCGACCACCGCTGCTGGCATTTTGGATACGCTGAACGTGACCTTCTCTGCGGGTGCGGGTTCGCAGATCCAGGTTGTGCAGTGGGATGTGCCAACTCTGAGCACCACCACTTCAAAGGCCGTCACAGGAACAGACTTGTATATCCCCATTACATGGAAAGGATACAACCACGTCGCGGCTGTGAGGGCGTTGAAGGCCGATGGTACCTACTTGTTTGATGACTGGACAGTCTACTTGCCGGCGTTGCAACAGGCCCGTATTGTAAGTTGATCCATCATACTTAATTTGTGAGGTTATTAGTAGACACTAATAGAGGCTGTTGTGTATAGACATATGGACAGTACGGATGGGATAGTAGCAACGTTATCCTTTGGGCAGCAGTCCAGACAGCAGTCGTTTCTGCAGGACAAGCAACGACCTTCATGTTCGAGGTTAGTTTTTTCGCTACATTCCTCTTTTCTTTCTTGATAGGTTGATACTAACATATCACGCAGTTCTTCCCACGTGTGCCAGGAAACTCTGTCAACTACACATTGACCGTTTAGTTAGGTACCGGAGCGTGCTATTGTTAATAAAATTGTAACTATAGTTAGTTGAGTGGAATAAGAGACTTTGGTGATCTTTTTGTCATATACCTTAAGCAATGAGGTCGGAGTGTAATGCCGACTTCTAGCCTGATTTGGTTATCAGGATATATCGTGAACCATCATGATCAGCTCTAGCGTTCCAGTACAGATCTTCGCACTATCTCAACTAACATCCAATCATTAATGCCCCGAATGCCCCGAATGCCCCGAATGTCGGAGACAGAGGGGTAGCCTGTGAAATTGTACAAAATTGCCTATCTAAGTTTAGTTCGCTATGAATGATGATTATTCAGCGAGCCAGATTCATTTTTGCGAGCCTGGGAGCTTTGTCCGGTGTGTAATAGTATCTGGTATATGTCGCTCCTTGGCATATATTTCTTGTATAAGACCTCTCTATTGAACTGTAGCCAACCAAACAACGAACCTGGGGGAGGAGGGGGGGGGGGCGTAAGGCCCCCATTAACTCGCTACTTGAAAGGTCAGAATTCTATTCGCATAAGATATATATATTCATATCTAGGCAGAGTAATAACTCTCGCAAGGTGCTTCCATGTACAGTACTGTGGTCAAAGAAAAGCAGAAACATACTTTCGGGGCCAGGCCAGCCTGCTGGCATCCAGTTAGCGTGATAGAATGTCTCTTAGAAGCATAGAACAAATTATGCATACCTGATACGGTTAGTATGGAACATTGTGATCCGGCCCGACGGCTTAACTAGGAATAGTGGGTGTAGATTAATCATGACTCGTCACTCGGGGGAACTACATGTAGCTCATGTTATGTGCCAAGTACTTGGCGTACAGTTAGTTCTCTGTTGTAAAAGCACAAACGTCATGTCACTCATACTCCTCAAATTACACGTAATGCGCGCTCAAATGTGAGTAACCCTTGCCTGGATAATGGCGCTTTGGTATCTATGTAGCTCGTTAGACAGTGATACAAAGTGGTATTCCTGCAATAGCATAAACAAGTTCAATAAGCTTTTGGCACGACCCGGCTAGCTCGAGATCAGCCTGGCCTGGAGCTCGCAATCGAGCGGACTCGGATCGTGGGAATGGAGGCTCGAGGTTTTTGAGCTCTAGATCAGCAGGACTCGGACACATGTTCGATCTTCCATTCTACCTAAACATAGTCATCTCAAAGTCTTCATTTTTAAGACGAACTTTGGGGGTTTATCTTTGTTATAGTATCCCATTTTACCATCGTCAACCCCATTACCAATAATTTATAAGGCTCGAGCTTTTCCAATATTCGCGCGAGCTGACTTTGGCTCCTGGGAAAGGCGAGCCCAAAACCATAAACAACTATTGCAAAATGTGAACTGTTTGGAGGTATTTCTTTAAGCCCTGAGCTATCATAAAGCTAAAAAGAGCAGATGAAGTTTCTTACACCCTCTCCTAGAGAGGTAGGGAGGGAGAATGGAATGACTCTTTGTAGCGAAGAGAGCGTAGACGGAGGATGGGCCCCCACCCTATAATGGAGGGAGCGAAAAGTTTGTTTCCCAAGGATGACTGCCAGTGTATGAACTTCGACAATCAAGGGTCTAATTGGTCGAGAGTACTATAGTAGCTATAGGCACAACTAGTCAAGATGAGAAGGAAGGTAGATAGCATAGGATCGACATGATAACTCAGGGTATTCTATTTTGAAATAGCTATCCATATGAGCGAAAGATACTGTGTCAATCAGCAAGGGTCTGTTTATGGTAATTAAAAGTATATGTACATGTACTACTGCGCATCCTGCGCATCCCAGCGCACCTTGTCATAAGAAATCACTCGAGTGCCAAGAAAAAAACATATAAATACTTGGTCTAGCCCGTGATTTTGGCCGTAGCATACATAAAAGTATTATCTCTGAAATAATTGAATTTTCTCCGTCAGTCCAGACATCGCGCCGGCCTACAAATACCTGAATCACCACCTCAACGCCGTTTACACAACCGACGCTAGATTTGAATCAAAGTGTCCAAGATTCTTGAAACAAATAGAAACAAAAATCAATACAGAAGAAAATGGTACAGCAAGACGTGGGGGACCGGTGGTCTGATGAGATGCTTATGGTTTGGTTTACAAATGCCCGAGCTCGCGTTTAAACCGAGCCGATACTCGCGGCTGCGGAAAGGATTTTGATTGAAGCGCACTTCTCTCCCTAAGCTGCTCATGCTTAACTCTAACCTGTGTTCCTGTCCAGCTGGTTAACCCTCAGTGGCTTGGCAACAATTCCAGGGCTGAGCCACCCCCGCGCCGGATTACAAACGCATGCCCAGGCGCCTGCGCTTGCGCATTATGCGAGCCACCTCCCAATTAACATGCAAACGAAGAACATAGAGTATGCCACAAAGCAGGTTTGGTAACGAACTTTTGGGGTTTCTAGATGAGTTCTATAACGTATAACACCCTGCATCTGGGTGCGGCGTATATGGACGGGCCGCCGACATCCAGCTAATCATATATCTACATCTAGCTAGGGGATTGCTATTCACCTGTCCCCATACATTGAACGGTAAGTCACATTTCTCCACGTAACATGCAACAACAAGCCTGGTATGTATGTATGTATGTGCTTGGCTCGACCAAGCATTTCCAGGAACTCAGACGTCTGAAACTCTCCAGGGGACACGGCCAGTAACCTGAGTGGACTTTTGTGTCCAAACAGCATAGGAAGTGGGCTCTTGTGCTTTTTGTCATAATGTGATCACGATCAAGAGAACAGCTAACCACCCCCTTACATAGAAAAGAAAGGTTCTCAGGGGTGCCCAATTGTGCTCGCAGTCTTCAACAAATGATACGACCCAAGCTCAAGAAAAAGCCGCATGCCGATCCAGAAAGCCTCATACAAATTATCGAGAAAGCCTCAGAGAAAGCCCTACGTTTATCTGAAGATCGATCCCACAGGATGGGATCTGCGTGAGGGTCTAAGTCTCCCCCGAGGTAGCAATCATGCTGAGGCTTAGTTCAATGCCTACGTACATATTCACTCAGAAGTCAGTTATATACTCTCTAGTACAGTCTAAGGCTCTACGTAAACAGGCTCAGGGAAGATCCTAGATCTAGTCTACTTGGAGTTAGTTAATACATACTTCCACCAGATATACTCCATAGAAGTATGAACGCACCGGTACCTTCGGCATGACTTCACTGAATCATCGGACTCAACTCGCGGCCCTGCCCCGCTCTCCCTGCGTCCCAGCCTCCGAAATAACGAAAGGTCGGCAGCTTTCTTTAGCGGACCTTTCCGCTGCTCAATGTATACACACACAGTCACCTACTCTATGTTCCCGTTTCACGACCCATCAACTGTACAAGTCATAACGATCCTCGAGGACATAGCGAACTCTTAATTGCATATCCCGGCTTTTCTGTATCTTTACTTTTCTTTTTGAGAAAATAAGGCTCGATTTGCAAACAGTATCTTCATGATTAACAAGGTTTCAGGCTCGTAATAACCTTATTTTAGATACTCGACGCGGACTCCATGTGCTTTACCATCGATAACGGCCAGTCGGTCATTGTCCTACTGGCGGGGAAGGTCCGTATCGCAGGTTAGTCCACTAATCTTTATCCCACTTGCCATGGGAGGAGGCTATTTCTTTTGTAGATGTTGTTGCGGGGATGATGATGATCTAAATCTAGTTGTGTACATTGCAATCACAACTACATGTTAAACGCCTTCCACTCTACCCGAACATCACCTTCACTGGAACAGATTTTTAATCATTGAAAATTGGTTAAAAAGACCTGTTCAAGAGTGAAAGAGGCTTGATACAACAATGATACTTTCCTTCTTTAGTTTAGTTTGTCTGCTGAGAAGAGGAGGGGGGGGGGGAGCTCTGCAGCTGGTGGAGAGGGAAGGTGTCTACTCCGCTAGTTATCGTAGCCTTCCCACTTCTCGTACGAATGGAAGGGTTCAAAGAGATAACTACTGTATTCTTTATTCTCCTCTGCCGTCCCTAGTTCCGTTTGATTCCGTTGATTGCCACCCCGAATGAGTCTTGGTTGTGCATGTAGATGTATATTTACATTCTGATTATGAAGTGCACAAATTAAGTAAATCATACGCTTGGACCTTTATATGCACTTGTTATCTCAGCTTAAGCTTTTTAGAGACTATAAGTAACGAGCTTAATCCGAATCCCCCACTGAGGGTCATTTGGTGAACCCGGGCCCTATAGCTATATATATACGAAGTACGCATCATTATAGCTCCGTCTCACTAACCCCCCAATCTATCACTCGCCCCCTCCCCCATATCATGTTCTGTGGCTGCAACAGAATTCCTCTAAACATATCCCAATAATACCTGCTTATTACATTCTGAATATGTCGAAATCGTCATCCCCTGAAGACCAACCGCCAGTGCACCAAATTCCAACTTTGGTAACCAGCTACATCCATGATAACAGCGATGAGTTTGAGGTTGCCAACGTAGTCATTGGAATTGCCACCGTCATAATCGCCCTTCTTGCCCTTTCAAAGACTTGGAGGTTTTGGAAAGGGTGGAAAAACTGGAGGAGGAGGAACAGAACCGTAAGTTGTCCCTCGAGTATAATTATATATATAAGGAATTGAAGTTGACAATAATTTTTCAGGGCATCCAGAATATTGACAGCGAGAACCCTGCAACTATTCCTCTCAATCATCAAGAGATCTACTACGATTTTAGCAACAATGTTCACATTTTGTATAACCGCAATGCAGAACAGATCGTGTATCGTGAACCAGAGGAAATACAGGGTATGAGGGGTCTGCTCTGGACGTAATGCTATTGTGTTTACGTTACTTTCTTTGTGTCTCGCGAGTTTCCCAGCCTTAGATCCGAGGGGAAGGGTCCGGATAATTGATGATTGATAATCATGGATCGTTTGCAGCATGAGAAGGGGATCGGAGGTAGTAGTACTAGTAGTTACGTTACACATTATGTCTTCAATGAAATTTTTGTTGTCCCCAATTTTCCCTACTCAGAAGTAGCAATCTACCAGCCCAACTGATGGCACATACATCTATGCAATCGCTAATCTCTTATCACTTGTTCCCTGTTTGGACTCGGTAATTGGCCCCCGGATACCAGATCGATCCCTTGCCGGCCGATTTCTGAGAGCAACCCTTCGCACCGAATTGGCATATCTGAGAGCCTCCTAAAAGTAAGCTTATTTCCGCTTAAATTTACTTAGATCTGAATGAGTCTTATCAGCAACTCTAATGTAGCTCTCCATCGCCAATTTGTATTCGTCTTTGAGCAAGTTAACGTAGCTAAGTGATGGATTTTGAGATGGCTATCGATCGCTCGGGTAGACGTGTATTAAGGTACGGACATGTCGCACCGGGGTTAAAATAGATAGGAGTAATGAACCAAGCCCGGGAGTACGGGTGAAGTGGTTTGTCACGGTGGCTTAATCGATACTAGCTGAGCTATCATGATCATACCCCGCCAAGTGACTGGTCCTGCTTAAAGCCAATCACGGTCACTACAAGTACATGTACATGTAATTTAAAATACTCATTGTTGAGCGAAAAACTAAATGATAAGCTTTGAGAATTTATCCTGCTGGCCTATGATGTTTGTTAGACATTTATAAAATCTAAATCGCGAAAATCTGTTTGCAGTTATTTTGTTACATTTGGCTATGTTAGTGGGATAGCTAGCATGCAATTGGCACGAATTCATGCTTGCAAGTGGTTCACTTCACATACATGTACTTCTTAATAGCTACAAGTACATGCATACACGTACTGTAAGAAACTTATTGATTGATTCTTCAGGTACCAGATTTTTAATCACAATACACAATAAGAATTAGAATAATTTAGAGATGTACTATGGGTACGTACCCGGATACTTATCAATATCATTACACATATATGAGGGATTGGCTTGCAGATATAATATGGGTAATTACGTATATACCCAAGGCATCATGATCAGCTAGAGAAGGTAGGTACAAGTACTCTTGTTTAGATATATGAACACAATTGGTATTAATGGAATACGACTCCGGCTCTCTCCCCAGCTTCGGACCCTGTGTTGAGGCCTAAATACTCACCAAACTGACCGAGGCTTGGTTTGATCATGATCCTTTTGATCAGTCGGAAATGGTCAACTACGTAAAGTGCGGTATCTCATTTTTTATACGCGTATGCCGGCCCTAGAGACTTTGTTACAAAGCAATAGACTTTTAGCTTTCTGGGATACAGTACCAAAAAAGCGGGTGGATCCAGTACCATATCTGGCAAAATACCGTATGGCTACGGTACCGCATTAATTCGTTCGAACGGCCGGTTACACAAGACGTTGAAATTCCCGTATTTGGTTATTTGTCTTGAATACGCCCCCTAATCTTCCCTCATACTAGCTTGAAAAGGCAACTTCGACGTCTTGTGTGACCGGCCGTTCGAACGAATTAATGCGGTATTGTTACGGTATTGCTACGGTACAATAGTTAGGATTCCGATTAATTCGGAAGTTTTGCACAATTCTGTATTGGTACAGTACCTATTACATCCTCTTTTTTCGTACTGTACTTCCTAATATTTTTAGTTATAAGGGAAACTATCACAGTAGTGCCTGTTCGTGATGGGCCTAATAGAGCGTAAGCTTATAATTGGTTCATTTCATTTGGTTAGCTCAAGATAGAGCTCATTGAGTCTGTTTGAGCCTTCGGTCTAATTGACCAACCTATACAAACGAGTGAGGAAATTTTAGGCAACTCCTCACGAAGGGTGTTTCTAACAGATATTTGCTAGTATGCTTATATATTAGTAGGTTTATGTACCTATAAGTACATGTACTTCTTATGTGTCTGTTTGATTTGGCAAAGCCGTTGTCGCGCATAGCGAATGCCAGGCCAGTTGTACATGTACAACTACATGTTATACCTCCTGGTATTACTCGCTCGTTAATTAAAAGGTCGGAAGTCGTCGCAACCAAATCCTCCGACCTTTTAATTAACGCGCTAGTAGTGCTACTTACTAATCTTGAATCAAGAGTCAGCTCAAGCCTCGAGCCTGATAAAGGCAGTTTCAAGCTTGCTCGTTTGCTTATAGGTCCAGTTTCATAAGTTTGAGCCTTCTATTCTGAGACCTGTGAGCTGGCTCTCAGATTTCGTGGGGGATTTGTACTACCACATGCACCACGGGAAACTTCAACGGTCGTTGTTTTAAAGTACATACATACATGTATGCGTCATGATCAGCATGATCCGCACAAGGGTCCGATAGACGTAGCGCACATAGATTTCCCTATCCTCCCTGTTTGTCATCATCTCTAGGTTCCCAGATACCAGTTACATAATCGCTCATTATACTTGAAGTTTGGTGACCCCATGGCCACGTATCCGCTTTACTCAAAGGTTCTCCAAATCTTTATGACAACTAGCTTCCCATAGTCGCCGGCCGTATAATTCTTACCAAATAGGACCGGTTCCTTGATCTTCTGGGGTAAATCTATCGTGAGTGAACCTCCCTGGTGAACTCGGATGACGATAATGATGACAGGCACGAGCCTGGCTATGGCTTATAGAGTTTCAATTGAGCTGTCTCGGATTTTGGAGGCAGAGGCGCGAGCCCAGGCTCGAGCTTTTATGATTATACCTAAGGATAGACCTCCAAGTAAGTCTGAATATAGTGTTATTATTTAGGATGAATGGGGTAATGCGGGATGAACTTTTACATGAATCGCCCAAGGGTACCTTTCTCGAATCGTTACTAATGCTTTCCCAGGCTCGAGCCCGCTCGCAATCAACTAGCGAGTGCCCCTCAACCTCACTACTTGGTTATGTCTGCCTCATAGCTCTGCCTCGAGCCTTGAAAGAATTTCTCAGAATACTAGTTCCTGCAGCGATATGTACCGGGTGCATATCTCCAGAAACCCTCCAGGACCGTGGCTTGCTAAGGAAATAAACATATCAATGACCCTTCCTTTATCCCACATCCATGATCCATGAAGAGGACATAGCGTAACTAGCGATGAGTAATTATCTCATGAATTGCCTCCAACCCACAATTATCTGGCAGGCTGGCAGAAGGAAAGGCCCCAGATTGCGTTTCGCTCCTTGAGCTCGGGCAAAGGTTCAAATCCCCCAGTTGAGAAAGTCCCCCCTTCTCTTATCAGAGGTCTAATATAGTATAATATGAACCTCGTACATACTAAGAGAGGGCATCTTGGGCTGCCTAGAACTACATGCGGCTTGGATCTGGATGCTAGCAAGGGGTGAATAAATACTAGTCGCCTAAAGCAATCGATTCAAGATGACTATTGAGTTCAGTAATCCCCATCGGTTATTTTGACTGAGCACGATGCTAACTTACACGTAACTAAGCACGGCCGGTCTCAGGCTGCCATGTAGTATATGTACGTATAACCTTGTACAATATGCACACGGGAAAAGGAGCAGCCTGATGGTGATTTACGTCCAATTGTGGTCGACGGTCACTTCTCGAGCAGAATATTTACCGAGTCCATATATACCTGGCATACCTACAGCTATCTGATTTGTCGATGACTGAACCAATCAGAGAGTTCGATCATCCAATGATCGAATTCTCAACTGTTTAAGGCTGAATATATACCGGAACCGCTACCCGCAGCACCATAATAGTATCTCCTAATAATTGGTATACCAACCCCTGGTAACGGTCGCCTAGCCGTTAGATATGTACATGTAGCCAACTAAATGAACACCTACTCAACCGACCGAGCCTGATTCAATATTCTGGTTCCGAGACTAGCTTTCTCTCTCTGATATGTTCAAATTGCTAAGCCTTCTCCAAAGTGCGAAGCCAAATATATGAGGCGGGGTATTTTGTTGGGCTAAGCATTGTCTGCAGGCGCGGCGAGGAGCCTTATATATTGATCCACACCACGCACAGATTTCAGACTTGTAGGTACCTACATACATGGGCTGGGTACATCATGTTTCTCTTGAACGTGTTGAAAAACTTTAAAACGTAAGAACTTGCACGTAATTGTCCGCAGTAGGGCTATTAGAGAACTTTCCGGTAGTTAAATTCGATCAGCAGAATCCGTAAAGGTGGCTATATCCACCCTATCTAGTTACAGCTCATGGTCTTCCCGCATATTTACGATGATAGAGATTTATACTCTCACAGACATCTTATTATTGAATTCTCGAATTTTACGCGTTTGAAAATAGCCTAGTCACCGAAGGAATGACAGCTTTTGCATGAATTTTTTTGCTCAACGGGTATTTACAATTAGACTGGGGCTTCATTGATCGTCTATTTCGATATACACAACCAACAATGCTCAAGATTTCTAGGAGAGTCGTTGGGTTATCGGCCTGGTATAAGCAAATAAAAGGTCGGATATCTCACAGTTAATCATAAACTATCACTCGCGATAAAGGCTCAAAATATTACGTTGATCAATAATTCATTCATTGGATCCAGCCCGGAGGCTATGAATAAAGTTAATAACTAGTAAATGTTATCAGCCAGCTAAGAATATTAAATAGGTCGGTGCACGTACGTGCACATGATGCATGTATCCGGCACTAGTGTGATTGCTATTAATAATAATTAAGTGTGGTTGAAGTCTTGCGTAGAGGCGTGGAGAACATCATTGGCTACATGTATTTAACCGCATATGGAGCCTTCAGTATTTGGGTGCCAACATTTATAATATGGAAAAGGCTTAAAATTAAACAGTTTTCGGTATACGTGCTCTGCAATTACACATGATGAAAAATAACACAGTTCGCTATGGTTCAAATAGAAAGTCTACTCGACCTCACGCCGAGAGAAAAAAAAGAACAGAAGGTGCGACAAAAGGTACTATTATCTTCGGTATCAAACCCTAGCCCTAAAAACACATGCTCACACAAAGAGGATCTATAAATCTTCTTGTAACAACTTCGAGAGCTAATATCCGGAGCTAATATTTGAGGCCAATAAAGGCTCGAGCTTTTGAAATCGAGTCAAGTCTAGTAGCTGCTATCACAAGCCGATTCGAACTTTTATAGTGATATAAAAAGACAATGCAAAAAAAATGTATATACATCATATCTTCGCACATCATATGGCATACACGTACATACTAAAATTAAAACTTGAAAGCCTACAGTATTACTTCGTAATAAGTAATCTCACAACAAGCTCTAAGATAAAGATTATTTTAGCGCGATATGAAATAGCGAAATAAAAACCACGACTAACTTCCCAACATAAGATACACTAGACATTTCAGTAGCTACCATGTACCAGCAGCTCAACCAAAAGACCTCCACACAAGACGACAAAAGTACTACGAGCTACACCTTAAAGCAAACATTGTTCTTCATCCTCTACCCACATCCCTATACCCAATCCACACGCCTCCTCTCGTCCCCCCAATCTCTGCCATCCCCTTCACCCTCGCCTGCCCCGCCATTCGACACGCCTCAATCATCCTATTCACAGCATCCACGATCTCGTCGACCTCCCAGACAATACCAGCATGGCCGCCTCCGTGGTCACCCGCGCACATCCCCAGTGTCACCGTACCGCGGGCGATGAAGGGCTTGATGCAGCCGTTTCGTTTATAGTCTGCCAGGACGTAGGGAAGGAGAGTGGGGTCCGCACGGGCGGAGTCGACCCAGGTAGATAGGGTTGTTTGGACGTTGGGGATTTCGGCGGCGGATTTGAAGGCGATGTCGACGGTGGTTAGGCCGCAGGTAAGGGCGTTGCGTGGGCTATTTCCCTGTACATGTGGGAGGGCGTTGGCGGGGGGTGTGTGGAAGAAGAGGGAGATTATGAGGATGGGGAGGACGAGGAAGTAGTGGTTATGCATTATGTTGGTTTTGGTGAGTTTTGTAATAATCGTGGTGGCGAGGTAGTCGATACTTTTGACGATGAATTTGATAATGAGATGACAATCGATACTAACAGAAGTATCTCTAGAGGGAGGTCGTGAGGAAGTTTATGTATTAAGTAGAAGAAATAATGGACAATTCAATCCATTAGCCATCTGAAGGAGTAAGACTTATTCTTTATATCTACCAAAAGTGCATGTGTGTTCCCACTATATATACTATTTAGATAACCTCTAACACCAATGAACCGTGATTCCATTGACTTAAAGAGTTAGAAAGGATTGTATTGTACATAAATCATTTATAACGGTGGACGGGTGCACCATACGCGTTGATAAATTTTAATCATCATATATCACTCGAAGATCGAGTCTTGCTTGGCACATGCATGGGTGTTGGGTATTAATTGATTAAACAAACGATAAACAAACGACACCCCGTCCTATCGCCAACGTAAAGACAGATATACAGATTTACTGTATTATCTTACGCGTATGACCGATCCTGTCCGTTGACTGGTCGCGTCAACCATTTGGATCAGACAACACCAGAAATGAAACAACATGTTAACAACTCGGAAATGACGATAAAAAAACCTATTTTCGCCCTATACTATATATATCAACTCAACCCATTTCTTGCTTGAATCCACTCATTGGCTGGACCTTTTGCTACTCCGATATTCATGTACTCTATGTTAGTACGTCGCGTCATGCAATCCACCCATTTTGGTTATCTGAAAGAGGCTAACTAGATTATTTTTATTCAATAAGAACCGATACTGTGTACCAAGCTCGAGTATGACGTTGAAATAAGATCTAATCGAAGTGCCATAAGGAAAGTTAGCGAGTGGCGAACGTCAACTAACGAGCCACACCTTATTTTAGCGACCACCGTGACAGCCATCCTGTCACCTAATCAGCGCGTTGCGGCGTAACAGTGATACATACATGCATAACCGACATATGCGCGCAGCAGTCCTCAGTTTCGGGTTATATTAACATCCCCAGTAGAACTGCACTCTTCACACAACCCAGTAGTTTTAATTTGTTCAACCAGGCGACATGGGCCGGGTTTATCTGCAGTGCCTCATGTCTTTCGCGCGGCTCGCTCCTCGGGTTTCCGTGTCTGGGGGTTTGGTACCCGCTGTCAGGGTTGCGGAGAGCGAGCGAGACTTGGGGATGGCAGTGATGTAGTTGTGCTTGGCCGTTTATCATGGCCACAGATCTAGAGGTACATACATATATCTCAATACGTTCCGATTCTTTACCTATTTTTAATCATTCTTCTACATAGTTACACTAGAACGTTTGAATACCATCACCACCACCACCACCGGCACCGAAAACAAATATATCCTATGTATGCAGGTACACCAAACCGGAAGGTGGTCCGCATACTCGAGGGGTACAAGTACATACTACACACATGTAGGTACATACCCGCGCACAAAACTAAAAAAAAAACAAGAGAGAGAAAATATGCACATGGTATGAATTATGCGATGCGGGTATAGCGGCTATTGCCTACATGTAGTTCTCTCCCCCGGCGGGTCTTATAAAGGACTTCACTGTTATCTAGGATCCCAGCACCAGTATGAAGAACTAAGCCTAGGGGGTATCGTACGGCATTAACTCTACAGGCCATGGATAGGATATCCGTCTCGGAGTGGGCTCAGCTGGTAAACCACATGGTTATCATCTTACCAAGGGACCCACCGCCCATATTCGATACCAGAGATAGGGGGGTACAAGTTGGCAACCCTGTGCTGTGCTTCTAGAGCCCATGAGCCAATTAAGGCAAGGAAGAAGAACAAAGGAGCCCAAGTCCACAGCCCAAGGTCTCCCACCGTCGAAAAGAAATTTTCGACTAAACGTGGGTGGTGGGCATGTGGGTGTGGGAGTGTCAGAAGCTAGTTTCGACTTCACCGGAAACTGAGACACAAATGAGAAGAATAATGTCGTATCTTGGCTCTTTGTTGATCACGAGCCAGGTCCGACTATCGAAGGCGGATCTCTCTCGTACGTATACTCATGTATGTCTCGAGCCAGCCAAAGGTACAATACACGTCCCATCACGCTCCGTTGTGACGAGTGCCTAGAAAGAAGAAATTACCCTCTCCTCACGATGATCCAACGGGCGGGATCGCTGGGTCTTGGTCAAGATCTGGTCTGAAACCTCTGAAAAAGTATTTTCAAGCCAATCGATCAACTCCGCCCCGTCTGTTACCGCATAGAACCACTCAACTACATTAACGTCTACCCCGCGCAAGATGACTTTTGTGACTAACCCGAGTCAAGTCGTGGCTTCTGCCTACACGCTCCTCTATTTAAACCCCGCGGAGTTTTGTCTGGATACAGCTGTTTGCCCACCATCCCATCTCTTAACCCCAGCCTAAGTCCGTATGGCGGGTGGAAATGATCTTATGGTCGCTTTTGGGAATTTAGCGAAGTTATTGGTACAGTGAATAGAATTCTCCGTTGTCCAGTAAACTGGCGAGCTTTATGTCATGCCTGACGAGTCTCAATATCTTTCGGGCTTTTTAGCGACATGTGATAGAAACTGGATAAGGGATGGCGAAGTTTGGGAGGGGGGGGTTGTGACTTGCGAGTATTCGTAATTAAGAAAATATACCTTCCAAACTGGTAAGAAACCATTTTGCTATAGAAGGACAACGGAGGCTGTAACTATACAGTCCTTTCAAACTTACCTGTAGGTATTAGTGCACAACTGGACCACAATGAAGCCGGATGTCAATTAAGGTTATTTATAATATCATTTTATAATTAACCATTGATGTTTACGTACATATATCGAACTTACTACCCGTAGATGAAATTCCACCAATTCTACGCCTCATTCAACGTAGATTTCGGTGCAACGAAAAGACTAAAAATTCTAACAAAAGAAAGAAATAATTTGTCCATGCATAGTTAGAAAGAAATAAACAAAAGTGACAAAACTCCACCCCGGCCCCCGACCAATAAACACCACAAATACAGATTTTTAATAACCACAAAAAGGTTGATGGCAACTGAAAACTAGAGAATTAATGAAAAATAAAGAATGAATACATCCGTGAACTGCGTCTAAACCACCTACTCATCATCATACCCCCAGTCCTCATTAGCGTCCAGGAACTTATCCGCCTTTTTCTCAAACGCTACTGCCGCCTTATACAGATACTCCCCAGCGCTCATGTCCGCTGTAATATATTTCTCGACCAACCATTTAGCGTCTGCGGTTCTCTCCCAAGTCTTTGTGCCATCATTCCACCCAATCTTCACATAAATCCTCAGATTGTTATCACCCCTTATCACCTCTGGTCCCTTTTTTTCCTTACCATCATCATTAAACGCCACTCCGTACACTTCTGTCGCCTTAAAACCAGATTTGCGTCCTCTGGGCTTGATCTCGGGGAGATCCCTGGGAATGGAGTAGCCACACTTCTTGGATGGCTGGACGCGCCATTTGCGGTGTCTTGCAGGACCGATGGACACAATTATCCTACTCTTAGCACCGCCCCAGGGTACGATGGCTTCGCATTTCCCGGTTACTTTGGGGCTGTTGCAGTCGAGAACGAAAGGTTCCTCGTCGTTACTATCGGCCCTGAAGTATGACTTGGCTTCGTATTCTTGTTCTTCTTCCTCTTCTTCGGGGAGCTCGTCGAGGTCCGTTTCACTAGGAGTGCCCTCGTCGGTGTAGAATGTGGCTTCGGAGAGGATTGATACTCGCTCCGAGTCTGAGCCAGAGCCAGACTCGAAGTCCGAGCTGTCCTGGGCGGAGTCGTAATTGGGAAGAGAGGGGTAGGAGACATCACCACTGGAGATGGAGCCCTTCTCAGAGCTATAACTGGGCGTTGATGTCTCTTCTATGGTCTGGTCTTTGATGCTGTCTGCGGGTGAAGGTTCATGTGATACTGTAGATACGGCCTCTTCCTCCTCTTCTTCTTCCTCCTCCTCCTCCTCCTCCTCCTCCTCATGATCTTCCTCCTTGTTCATTTCTTTCTGCTCTGCTTGTGGGAGACCACCAGAATCAGAATCTTCCCCCTTGGCCGCTGTTGGTGTAGGGAGAAGAATCTTCGAAGAGACAGGGCGAACACGGGTCTCAGTCATCGTCTGTTCGGCCTCCGGGCTTTGTTCATCAATATTATTGATTTCGGCTATCATTATTGTTAGTTTATGACCTTTATAGAGCCAAAAAGAAATAGAAAGGAAAAAATGGAAAAAAAGCTTCTCACCAAGATGTTTTTTGTAGTGAGCCCTAATGTCAGCGTTGATAGATCTTCTTGTATGGCCATTTAAATCTCCGGGAATATTGTTCTTGACATGATCGTGCTTGCCATCAACACTGGAGGTGTCCTCATCAGTTTCGTCCGCGACGGTTTTGGACATGATTCGGCTTGAATTCCTGACCATAGTCTCGCCTGATTTGCGCCAGTTAGACATATCTATCGATTACTTAGTGTATTACGGTGATTCTTTTCGAGGGACTTTGTTATTTCTGCGATAGTCGTAAATGTTGCAGTAGTGGCAGTAGTAGAGGGCTACACCGTCTTTAAATATTATTTGTTTGAGTATTTGGCTGAACACTGCCTCATTTACGTCGTTACTGTCTCAGCCCCGCCCGTACTCTATCGAATATGCTGGGCCACCCATCGGGACTGTTTCTTTGGGCTGGAACGATTTATGTACGAAACCAGGTAATTTAACCAGTAACACTGATCACAGCTAGGCAATTCATTTAGAGTCACATACGTGACAAGAACTTAGAAAGATTAGATTATTAAACTCACGGTTAGCCAAGTACCTACTTGCTTTCTGCCGAACGTCTCCAGTATGCACCTATATGTATCTATTTACCTTCCTAATGGAGAGGTATTCAACCTAAGTGAATTGCCTACCAAACCTGAGTCCCAAGATTTTCTAGACTACGAAGAAGGAGGGGCCAAGTGACCAAAGGATGAAGGCAGTGCCTCTTCAGACAAACATTGCTTTTGGCAATGTTAATAACTAATGGGTACTGAAAAGATAACCGGAGCAGATTCCTTTTGCCCAATGGAAATGAGCCGAGAAGTGTGCCAACATGCGGCACAGATGCATGGGGTTGAGATATAAAAAGACGTGTGGTGGGTGGGTTTGGTTTGGTACAATGCCCAGTATGTGTCCTTGTTATGAATTCTTCTGGGCATGCCCCTGGTTAATGTAAGCGCATAGCACCTACAATGAACTGTATCATGTGACCTCTCCCTGATCAAAGCTCTTTACTGGCCCGTAAAGTGTAACGGTTTTTATTGCCGGGTTCCCAGCGTGACATGACGATCTGATAATTTATGTAAAAGCTTAAGGACAGCTTTGGATAATGTCTTACACAGAACCGGCAACTTTATGTCCTGCGAGCGGTCTGCGAGGCAGGTACCAAAAGGTATTGAGTAATTCCCAAACTGCAATCTGTAGACTTAAAACTTAAGCATCTTATCTCCGAGCAGTGTCTACAAGCTTCAGGACTCTATGCTCTATTGAAGTCGTGGGGATTTTAGGTGCTGCGGAACGGGCCGTGTGGCGTTGCCCTAAGCGAGGCGCTAGCTACTCCTATTTTGTAAATGCGCGATAGTTAGGGTTTGGGGTAGGCGAGGCAGGTACCGTAGCGCCGAGCAAGCAAGCCATGTATTATTCTGTATCTATTTAAACGTGAGATGTATTATAAGATCGTGTGCCCATTTAGTTTTGTCTGGTTTCCTACGAGGAAAAGATACATATAGACGTATATCTAGACCTGCTTTGATTAAACTTGTGTCTCCGCGCTTATCAAAACCCCTTACCGTATTAACTGGCAAACTTCAACAATTGCAAACATCTCCACTTTCCTAGTGGGTCCTAAGGTGAGTGTTATCCACTCCCACTCCTCGTTTCATCATCCAGCGGGGAACTTGGTGCCGCCCGTCGAACATTCCGGGTCATACAACAGGACCCCAGGAAGGTTTTTGATTGACATGATATTGATGTTGGTGAGATATTGGTTTTGATGACGCATTTGCAAGCCCTATCATTCGTTGTGAGCGGGTAAGTACCTCTTATTTTTAGAGCACGATTCAATTGCTCTCACTATTGGTCGAGGAATTGCCAGTGAAGAATCCTTTTATTGACTTGGTTGTCCGTAGTGTCAAGACTTCGCCCTATCTTGTCTGGACCCGGATCTCCAACCTTATGAGACACACCATGACTTGTGGATACAGCGAGAATTATCATCATATCTCAGCCCCTGCAGTAACCCCAAGAAGTCTCCAGGCCCGATAGATAGGTTTCAACCTAAGACTAGTCTTTTTGTAGCAAGGATTATAGGCCTTATAACCGCTAATATAGCTTTATGGTGCCTATGTTCCAGGCCAAGAGGCCGCCCCCAGAGTCATCATTGGTTGTGTCCCATACATTCAATTGTATTCTAATCGACTGATGTGCCGTAGGCTCGTGTACTCCCATTTTAGTGTTTTCAATCACGGTACCCTGACAGTACGGTTCAGTGCTGATTGGTGGCCTATGGGACATGGAAGTACCGAGATCTATAGAATCTTCTGAGGCTTCTTGTGTGAATTCTAATCTAGCGTGAAAGAAGGTTTCGTGTGACGGCTACTCCTCCGTTCGACTACCAAGAAATCAGCACCTGATGAGAATCTCAGAATAAACGGCTGCAGCTGTCCCATCTCGAAAGGTTCCAGACCTATCACAACAGGCATGAGGGATATCAGCTTTCGATGAGTAAGTGTCTACGTCAAGGATACTACTAATAGTAACTGATGCATTCAATGAAACTTCCACAATCTATGCTTGCTGAAGGAAGATCTACACTTATAGTTAGATAATGAATTGTCAAAACGGGAAGATTGTGGAAATTAGAGGAGTGATGTTAGGAGGAGGCTATGGAAGAGAGACTACAAGGAAGGGACATGAGAAGAAGTGTTGAGGAGAATATGGGAGAGCCTGGAGCAGAGCAGCGGGAGGAAAGGGGCTGGGGAGAGGTGCACCTACACCATCATAGCACACATAGCACCATTTTTGGTGCTCATGACGGTGGAGCAGCTTCTAGGCAAGACATCTCTGGTGGCGGACGATACCGGTCGAGAATGATGATAGTACGATTGATTTTGAACCATTATTGGAAAACCTTGGTTCTCTAATGAAATCATGCTTTTGGTTATTCGTTCCGAAGAACTGACCCACAATCAATCTCGTAGTTTAGCTGCATGAGAAACCTTAGTACTAAAACCGTGCCTCTCAGAAAGAATTAAGGCATACCACGTTATGCCCAGGCTTGATTGACAAGCATCATGAATCATGAAATTGATTACCGCCCAGGAAACCTGATCGGATTGGGTTTGATTTCAGAGATTAAATCCAATCAAATAATGGTGCACACTAGATAGTGATGAATAGCGGTTATGGATGAATTATCATGATGATGATGGTCCATGAAGTTGATAGTGATGGTGGCGGTGATGGTAGTAGTGTTTGTTCTGCCGCGCTCACGACCACAAGGCAGATTTTGTTTGTGCCACGAGGCATACTGATGCAACCCGCTCATGACGCTGACGTATCTAAATTACTCCAATCTTATCTAACCACGCACACACATATGCATTCATCGGGGCTCTTTTTCAACAGTGACTAATTGAGTCTGAGTAATTCGAACAGATGAAGAAACAAGTACCGATAGTCTAGCAGCCACTTTCGTGGAAGACAGGGGAAAATGAAAACCAAGCCAGGAAAACCCCAATTCTGACCTCGCAGATATCATAGCGGCGTAGGGACAAAAGAGAGAATCTTTGAAACGCAAAGATTCGCCAATAAGCTATCCTTTGGTCTGTCGATAAGGTCTTTCCTCGTCCCCCAGTCCCCTCATGCGATTTTAAAATCCGCAGAAAATCCGGGTATGAGATTAGCCAGAGATTAATTCAGATTAAATGATTGATAAGGAGTTGTTCTCATTATCCACTGCGTGAACGGGTATAAGGAGGGGCATCATTTCGTTGACAGATTAAGAGGCACTCTCGGGAGCGGCGCCTTTTGACTCAGTTCTGAGTCATCTCACCCCCGTGCTTAATTAAACTAATACGATATTTTGTTAATAGACCATCGCATAACGTGATGATTTCCACTTGGCTTAGGGATACAAACACCATATTAATTGAACAGATTTGCAACTCTTCATTCCTCCAGAGCTGATCTCCGCGGTAGTCTCGTGTCTACCTTTAAGATATATGAGAGCAGTTTCCTGCCTACAGTTAAGTTAATCTGCGTAGGAACTAGCTTCGTTTCGCTCGCTATAAGACAGCGAGTGAGGGGACATGAGCCAAGCCTTGACGAAACTCTTTGCGAAGTGGTTTTATCTGCCTCTTGATCCATCTCTAGAGGTTTGACTTGTGGTGGAATTGAATCTGTGGGGAAACATATCAACAGCATAAAAAAAATTGTGGGCTCTAGTTGATCTATGGGTAAAGGTAGGGTTAGGGATTGAATCCTGCGGTTTGCGATGTAGACAAGAAACGATTGGGTTGAACTTCCACAGCTTACTAAAGTCACCTAGTCTTGGCGGAGTGTGTCACGTGTCGAGCCAAAGATAAAGGCCGGGTAACAGAGGTAGAGCCTCAACCTTGCCATCGCTTTCAACCCAACCACACCACCCAACCACACCTCACCGTCATCACCAGATCTCGTCCCCGACAGCACCCTGCCTCCCTCTCTATCCTTATCGCCATACAAGCCACCAAACCCGTCACCGCTCATACTCTTGATCTTCTGTGCCCTCAGTCGCTCAACTCGCGTAAGTTTGCTATCCCCGCCTCTCCAGGCATCATCATCGCCCCCCTGCGCACGCGTAGGCAACAGTACTAGAGCTTTACCGAATAATTTTTCGCCGTGTTCGGGTAACTTCCCGCATAGCTAGCGCTGGGACCTGGGTTGAATAAGTTTTCCCCAGTGTTCAGGTAACTTCCTGCTAGCCAGCGCTGGGACCGGGACTTAATGTCGCATTGCTCGTGTGGTGTTGTTTGTCTCCGCGTGTGTAGGTTCTGCCCCTCCCTGTAGGGGCTACTAACAGGCGCTTCGGCACCTTGAGCTCGAGCATAGCTGAAACTCCGCCTCTTGGGGTGATGGAGTGATAATCCAGGTGGGTCTGCTCGGTTCCGTCGCTGGTGCTTGCAGATGCCCCAAGCGCCGATGGGTTGGGTTTTCCTTTGACGCGATGAGGTGAGGTTTCAGCCCCTATCGCGCGTACAGAGCCCCTGCTAACATGCTAGAATCAGGTAAAAAAGAGAGCATGAAGTGGTGGTTTGAGTTGAGCATCGTTGTTCATTTTCATCATTCCGCATGAATGTTATGGCTATGATTTGAAAAACAATCTTTGTAGTACGAATGGGCGGAGGGATTTTATTCCGTTAGCTTCAAGGCTTTGAGTTTGCATAGGCTTGGGTTTTTTTTTTTTCAATAGCTTCTCATCTACCTGTACAACAGACTCGTGGCGAAAATATATCCATTATTAAGATTTAGATTTCTGGGGAGAGATTTACAGTCCAGTTGTCCATTCTACAATTCTACGCCCAATATCTACGAACAGGCTCTCATGGAGGGGAATAAACGGCGCTGCAAGAGCTTCTCCGCCAGCTTCGGGGGCCTTTATAAACACCGACTAAACGATAGCGGAGTCCTGCAATCCTGGACTGGGGATGGAACTAGAAATGCATAAATGGAGTGTAAAACGAAAGTGCAGGAGCAACTATTGAAGGAAAGGGAAGAAACATCGAAACGAGTGTCAACAGGTTGGACACTAGGAAATGAGGACAAGATGAGTTTTGGGAGAGAGATGATGGAGGATAGATGGACCATTTGGCACCACGGCATCACCACTCGGACGTTTTCAAACCTGGCCGAGAACACCACATATGCGCCCTTTCCCTCTCCTCCAGGCTGTGCAGTGTAGGAGCGAAGGAGAGGGAGTGTAAACGTGGTTGTCCCGAAGGCGGTGCAAACTGGCATCAGTCTCTCTGCAAAAAAGATTGGAATGGGGAGGGTGTCAGCGGTTCTTTCTTATCGAGAAGTGGTGGAGTGTTAGAGAGCGTCAAGGCCGTTGATTGGTCCACGGACGCTCATGGCACGGGTTTGACATGTCGTTTTGGGAGCGATGTAGACCTTGTGTCTCGTGTATGGGGATACGAGTAGTCCTAGTTAACACAACAAATCTAAATCTCAATCAACGACACCGAACCAGAGTCATGACATGACTACAAATGTCTTCCTGAAATGATTGGGACCCTGAACATAATGTTTCGCAGCACAGCTATAATTGCCAGTGTACGAGAGGATGAACCAGTAGCTCACGCCCCACTGGGCATGTCACTTCCCCTTTGTCTCTGCTGGCGATTCTGGCAGGTGTGTGGCCTCTGCTCAAGATCTGGAGCAATTATTTATGGAAACGACTTCGGATTGGCGGACATAAGACTCTTTCGGGCGAGGAGAAGAGAGAGTGACCACTCTGGGAGAAAACACTCTCCACAACTAGGCATACTATCTGTCCTAGCACCATGCGGCGGAGGGGAGGCGGGATGTTCTGTATTGGTTGGTGCTTTGCGTCTCGGCCGGATATTGAGCCTCATTCCGAGACTTACATCGAACTCCAAAAGCTAAGCAAGCTATTGGGGGCGATACTATTACCCAGTCGCTTCCCCTGTGGCGTATTTGTAAGATTGGGATAAAATACTCGAGATGTTCTTGGTTCAATGCGGTACAATATGACATTGCGGGTGGATGGTAGAGAGCTAGCTCCCTGGGGAGTGCCGTTACTCACTAAGAATTTCGAGCTATAAATTTACATTAATTCCCAGCCCTGGCTTATCGTTAATCGTAAAACTTACAGTTCTTACACGCAACAAAAGAGTGATACCACCCGCCCATGCTGAACTACTTGCTCAAGCCAAGATGTCTAATCATGTATTATCACTCGCTGCTAATTATCAGCGGTTCCTGTCTGCCGCCGGACGGCATATGTGTAGGCGCGATAAACGCCAGGGGCATTTCAGACGCAGGTACGCATTCACCTCTCCCAAGCGCAAGAGTAGGCGAGCTACGAAACGCCTTGGCGATACGTCTAGTTCGGCGCGGGTTTCTTCAGGTCAATAACTAGCGCTCGGCGGCGAATTGACCAGTGACTGTAGGTGAGTTTTTATAGTGGTGTGCCGGTGTTATGTAGGCTGGTCTTTGTGGTTTTGATGCTTTTGTGTGCGGTTTGCAGCCAGTTGCGGGAGAGGCGGGGGAGGCGCTTGCGGTTTGTTATTCTGGTGGTGCAGGAAGTAGCACCTTTGACATCCCAGGCTCGGGCCCCGGGGAGAAGATTTGCATTTATTCAAAGGAAGGAGAGGAAGAGACAAGAAGCGTCTTGGTGCTTATAGCCCAGAAGTGAGATGGTGGAGATTGGCGTGGCGCTCATAGGGACCGCGCTATTTTCGTCGAATCTCCACGTATCACTCGGTGGTAAAGTTGAGAGAGCTACTAATAACCCGTTAGTGGAAATTGTGATAGCGTGGATTTCTAGTGAGACAATTTTCGGGGCTCTGTGGAGCAGCAGTTGTTAGCTGTATGAAGGATGAGGGTGTTTATAACGTAGGATTGAAAGTTCTGTTATCGAGCTTTTGACTCGGAGATAAAAGGAGTGGGCATGTGTCTCTTTAGACGAATTGAGTATCGATTGTCTATCTCAAACCTGCGCGAAAACGATGACTCCAGTTTGGCGCAGTTCCCTCGAATCATCACTTATCACTCGATGTAAATTATCGACAGAATTTCCCTATTAACCTGTCAGCCGAAATGTTTGTAATAGTTTCCGCCACCCTACCCCCTCTCAAGCATCCAATGACAAAGGCTTGCTCCTGCTGGTGTCTGTAGAGAGGTAGTGGCGAGAGTAGGGATGGAATACTTACACTCCTGGTAAGGATAGACATAAACAGTAAACACTATCGAGGCTCGTTGGAGAGTTGCAAAGGGCGATAGAGAGCGAGCTTCACAAGCACCTCGAAAATCCACGTGGGTCTGCACGAAGAAGACATTTCTAATGGTGCCAGCTCATTCAAGTCACCGGCTATCACTCGAGGGTAAAAATTGACAAGGTTTTCCTAGTTGCCTGTCAGCGGAATTGTTTTTGTGATGGTCTTGAAATTCCAATGATAGCAGCTTTTCTCCAACGTTCTCTAGGATGACCTATAATGAGCTGAGAAGGGAGGAGTTGGGGTTGGGGAACCGCTTACACCAAAAATATACCATCTCGCTGAGGCTTGAGTGAATCTCAGGTCTAGGCAGCAAGAATCCCGATCACTGTTCATCAACTAGTGCGAGGTCGGCCGTAGCCCTATGCGTACGTTTCTTTGGCTGACCGGGGACTCGGTGGAGCTGTGGATGTGGTCGTTGCGCAGCGCGATTCCTCGATTCTGGAAGATGCGGTGCGCTAGCTCTACAAGGGGCTCGCGCTGAGGGGATGGGGGTTGGAGAAGTCGATACTGTTAGGGGATGAAGGTAATAGGATAATGTTGATATTGGCGATCAATAACCTTGGTGCTCGCACCGGGAGTTGGCGTTGATTGATGTCGATGGAAACCAATGAGTACGTTTATGTGTCCGGTGGAGTGTGGTTTACATGTTTTTACCCGCTCACCACCCTTACTCAACACTCAACACCTAACATGCTTACGGCGGCTCATAACTACCAAAGTGCAATTAAGGATTTCGGTGGCAATGAGACAACGAAAACCTAACAACCCGCCCACACAAAAAAAAAAAAAAAAAACTCTGCAGGTGTAACGGGGGTCCTTTCTAAGAGAAATAGAATCGGATAGAAAAGAGACGGCCATGCAAGATAGACAATCAGGTTGCAGATTATTCAAAGATACTATCGCTAGAACTCAATAATCTTTAAGGGCTCTGCTACCGATAAGAACTTGGTTTTTCTTTCTGATGAAGACTGGAGAGAACAGGACTGAAGGGCGAGAATGAACCTGAGTACTTATACTCCGAAGGCCTCTATTCTCTGCTCGTAACTCCTTACTAAGTTCCGGTGAAACCTTTCCTCAGTCTGACAAATAATACCACCACTACTCCGCTTTTCTCTAAACGTCAGTAGGTGTTTCCGCTACCCAAGGCAACCACCCTTAGTCAAAGCCTTTGTAACACCTGCAGCATTGGTTGCCACACAACCGAGGGCCTGCATGAATGAGCTGCCGCTCAGGTGTAAGCTTAATCATTGCTGTAGAGCTTTCACTTATTGTAGACTTCTCTAGCATAGTCCCTGCCCTTCGGCGGACTCACAATGCTTAGAGGATACAGAGGATCACCGGGCAATCAGAGCTTCACTCTGGCTGGTCTTCTAGTCACTGGAGAGCCATAGACTCATCAGTCATTGCTCCCATGAATAGATCCTCTTCATAGCGCCCGGAATGTAATTACTCTAACAGCTGGTAGCTAACCACACTACCGGTACTTGCATATCACCATACAACTGGCTTCTAACAATAACTCTCAGCATGTAACCGGGCCCTGTATGTACTCATACATCAGACAGTTGAAATGGCTCCGTTACAATGAGAACAGGTATGTTATTTAATTCTATAGAATGATAGCCGATTCATTTTAATTATTCTATAGGTACCTTCTCCAGAAGACAAACATTTTAATATTGATGTCCCGTTGCCCTCTACTTCTACATTAAAAAGAGATTCAACGGCTTTAACTCCTGATCTACCTGAGTAGTCAAATTATTTACTTAGCTCTCCCCATTTAGAGTCCTCTCCATCACCAGTTGGTAAAGATATTCCTTCAATACAACTTGAAGAGAATGCTCCACAAGAGACCAGAAAATCTAATCGGCAACCAAAGAAGAGGAGGAGATTATATTAGGATAGTGATTAAATATTTTTGTAAATAGTTAAAACAAGCATTTTATTTCTCTAACTACTAATTGTTATTCTAATCTAAACAATTTTGGGAAATCTTTTAAAATATTCCTCTTTGACGGCTTGATGCATTGTTGAGACCAAACAATGTCTAAAACCGTACCAGTTAGTAGTAAAATGTTCCAACTTTGTTCCTCTGATAAAACCAATTCCACCAGGCCTACAAACAAACTTCCTATTCATTTCCCTGATACAGAAATCAGCCCCCGTGAACTCACCCATTGCTGCCATTACTGCCCATCCATCTTTTAAATCACCAATATTATAATGAGGTTCAGTAAACAGATTAATCAAACATGCTCTCAAAGAGAAACATTCCTGATCATCAGTTACCCACTGTTGTTTCTCCTTCTTTGACAAGGCTGTAATCATTTTGACACAAAGATCTCTGTTATCTTTGTCAACGGCACCAAGTAAAATTCTTTTTGCTCTGGTAAGATTGCCTAGTGAGGTAAAAAGGCGGAGGAGAACGGGATTCATGTGTTGAGATGTTTTGAGAGTATCTTTGGTGATGACATCGTCATTATCATGACCTCTTTCCATCCACATACCCCAATGGTAAACACCAGCCCGTGACCAATCAGCCCAACAAAGATGAGGATTGGCAAGAAGCCAATTCTTGTACTCAGCATGCCTAATATCTTTGGCACCGGGAATATCAGGTGGTTGGAGTTCAGCATACTCCTCAATGTTATAAGTTGTAGACTTCAGAACCCAGTCTCCAATTTCAACTCCGTAGACCATTTCAAAACCCTTGCTGAAGTAGACAAACATGCGGGTGTAATTTTTATCAAGGGCAAGATAAAAGGCACCGGGAACTGCAGGAACTTCAACTTGCTCATAAGTAAGAGCAGCCTTATTGATCTCCTCCAAACCCTTGTTAACAAGAGTGCCAACTTTATTCAAATGTTGAGAGATATCAACGTCAAAGAATACCTCAATGATACTCCCAATCTTGCCTTTGAAAATCTTAAAAGACTTAGCCCCGTTGGCTTTGGCCTCCTCACAAGTAGCCTTCATACCCTTAGAGAGACACATCCACTTGTTGATATCCCTTTCCAACTCCCGATCACTCTGTGTTTTTTTGGGTTTAGTAGATTGATCGGCAGCTTGACCAGCAGATTGATCGGCGGATTGACTAGCAGATTGACCGGTAGCTTGACTAGCAGTTTGACCGGCAGCTTGCCTAGCAAGGAATGGTGTGAACTGTTTGGTGATAATATCAGCCAAGTGGGGGCTTTTGACACAGTCGGCCTTCTTTTGCCCTTGAAGGTAGGGAGGAGACTTGAGGGCACCAGTTTTAGTGTGCATCAGGGTGGGATTGGTGAATTTAGGCATTGCTGTAGTCAAATTAGCACCAGCAGCAGTCTTGCAATGCAATAAAAACTCACGTTCTAGAGGTATGGCTAAGTGGTCAGGAACAGGTACTGGCGGGGACAGGTACTGGAGTTGATGGCAACGGACTTCCTCACTAGAGGTTAAGTGAAGCCGGCGTGCAATATACTTCCCTATCAGAGGTTAGGTGAAGAGGTCGTGTATGGGTGCTGGTGAAGGGCAGAGTGCTGGTGGAGGGGCGGAGTGCTGGTGGAGGGGCCTCGTGTCAGCAGCGGACTTCCTTACCAGAGGTAAAGTGAAGCTGTGCAATAAACTTCCCTACCACAGGTTAGGTGAAGTGGGCGGTGGTCTTCGTGGGCCGTGGTGTTCGTGGGCGGTGGTCTTCGTGGGCCGTGGTGTTCGTGGGCGGTGGTGTTCGTGGGCGGTGGTGTTCGTGGTTGGTTGGTGGTTGGTGGTCGTTCGTGGAGTGTCGCGCTGGTTGCCAAAACCCCGAATTCGATAATTGCACTTTGGTAGTTACGAGCCGCCGTACATCCTCCACACGCTCAACCACCATCGCAGTATAGCCATACCCTACAATTACAAGGCCCCGCTGTCCCCCAGTTTTCTTCCTAGTCCGTGGCAGCTGCCCCTCTGGAGCAACAACACCGCATACGACGGATTTATCTTCCGGGGAGATACCTCTCATCCCCGGCCTCTGCAACACAAGCTCAGAAGCGGAGAGATCACCTATCCCGCGCTGGTCCCCCTCATATGCTCGACTCCTGGCAAAGAAAAAAACAATCGAATTTTGATATGGGGATGCGGTCTTCACCGGCAAAACTAAGAATCCCGGGCTTACTTCCATCGCCTCCTTTTCCGCCAATACCAAAACCAAGACCACCCTCAACTATACCGCGCCCGGCTAGCTTTTTCTACTTCATCGCCTCTCACGAGTGCCGACCTCTTTCTCCCAACACCTCTTCCTTCGCGGAGAACCCGGTAGATCTCCTTCCTACCCAGGGGAGTCTCCCTAGCTACACCGCATCCAAACTTCAGTGTTGGATGGCCAATCCTAGATTCAACATCCACGTACAGGAGCAATCACACAATCACTTCGTTCCCCGAAAATCGAAGACAGTGGATCGAGCGCGATGGTCGGAGGGGCAAATGAACAGGAGGGCCCAGTAGGCGAAGGGGCTCCCGTAATGCAAGAAACAATCATTTTTATCTCACGGGTGTCTTGGAGAGTTCCACCAGTTTGAAACAGCGAGTGATACTTGGTGATTTATCCAGATGTCGCAGCATCGCCACTGAGAGCGGCCCGACAGGAAGGGCCGGGGTGGGTATATCGAAAGGTACCGATTCCCAACCTCTTATCTAAATAGATACAAACCACTACTAATTATTACCGCGGTGCGAGATTCGACTCTCGAGAAAGCGTGGGAGAAAGCCTTCGTTGCAGAAGGATGGTTGGGTGTATTTATGCTATCTTGTCAACACCAGAGAGCGGCGGAGACGATGGAAAAGATATCTCTATCTCGAAATAATGCCTATTTCTACAAAGGTCATTCGCTGATAGCTATATAGGGTGGCCCTATCGATTTTTGGTAACGAGTGATATCTCATGGCCCGGAAGAAGCATGGATATGGGAGTTCTTCTTCAGCGGTGGTAAGCTAATGTAGCTAGTAATTATAGCTATTAGACGCGTGCTGATATTTTAAGGGCCTATCTCCATTATTCTTAATTTAAAAAAATAAAATAACAGTTTCGTTTAAACGTGATCAATCGGTATGACCAGCTACGGCTGCTGAAAAAGAAAATGAGAAAAAAAAGAAAGAACAGAGGGGTGGGATTCGGAACGTACGTCACCAAGACTGCTAGATTCAGCCAAAGGCCAGATGCAACCCGTAGAAACTAGAGAGACTTGAAGACATGTACTCCCTATCGAGTGACAGAGCCAAAGTCCCGGCGGGGGAGGGGGAGGAGTGGTCTCTATCAACCTCCCAGAAACAACCGAGAGGTCAATAAAGACCCACACACCCCGAAGGGCACAGCGAAAGGAAGGAAGAGAAGGGGCAAACTCTCACTCGAGATCTCACTCGATCCCTCGGACTGAGCCCAGAGATAAAGTGAGACCCCTACTCCCCCGCAAGGAGAGAGTACAAGAGGTGATGGGACGGGGACGGGGGCGGGGAGTCCTAACGTAACTCGGCCCCTCCTAGTCCCTAAATAAGGACTAGGAGGGGCCAAAAAAGGGACGGGGGACGGGGCAACCTAACGTAACTCAGGCCCCTCCTGATCCCCGGAGGGACCAGAAGAGGCCAAAAAAAAAAAAGGGACGGGGGGACGGACGAGAGCACCTAACGCAACTCAGGCCCCTTCCGATCCCCAGAGGGGACCAGAAGAGGCCAGAGAGACGGCAGGCGGGGCGCGGAGCTGTGCCAACGTGACCCATGCCCCCCTTGGGCTCGCTTGGGCAACGTGCCCAAGCGAGCCCAAGGGGGGCGAGAGTCACCCTGCTCCTGGTGGGAGCAGAGGCGAAGAGAGAGGGGGGGTGGGCAGACACCCTCGGCACAAGGGCCACAGGATGCCTGCCCGCCCCAGAGGAGGGCCCGGACGCGGAGGCGGAGGAGGAGGAGGAGAGGGGGGAGCAAGTACCCTGGACCACCAGGGCCACAGGGTTCTTACTCCTACCCCCAGAAGGAGGAGGAGGAGAGAGGGGAGGAGGGAGCAGACACCCTTGGCCACAAGGGCGGCAGGGTGCCTACTCCTGTCCCCCCCAGGAGGAGGCCAGAGGCCAGGAGAGGAGAGAGGGGAGGGTGAGCAGGCAGTCTCGGCCACCAGGGCCACAGAATGCTTGCTCACCCTCCCAGGAGGAGGAGAGGAGAGGAGAGGAGAGGAGAGGAGAGGAGGCGAGGAGGCAGCCCAGACCAACAAGAGGGTCTGAGAGCTGCCTGCTCCCTGAGGAAAGAAAGGTTTGAGTGGGAGAAAGCCGACCTAATAAAGCTGGCCAGTGGTGGTGCCAAGCTTGAATTTTTGCCGGCAGGTACTTATAGAGTTTTAGGGCTTGATTACCACGGAGGTTGGTTATGTAATCTCGGTGGTAGTAGGTATATGTAGTTGCAGAAGGTGGGAATGTCTTGGCCGCGGTGGGAGACTGTATGTACATCTTGGGTAGATATATGTATGGGTTCTCGAAATCTTAGTTTAGATTTTTTTCTCAAGTGGTAAAGGTTCATTTCCTCAATGTCTGTCCTGAAAAGATTTGTGTCTAAGGTGTTAGCATCGACATAACACGATGTGGCCCCATTCCAATTGAAACAAGTAGGAATATTCCCCGTAGACATTTGACTGAAGGTTAGACTCGCACCGTCGGGTCGGTGCGCGGCAGCAGGGACAGAGAGGAGTTATAAAAACATGTTTTTATCCTCCAGAAGGCCTGTTGCCTACAAAAAACATTCGCTGACAGAAAACTAAGGAAGCTCTGCCGATTGCTTAATCGAGTGATAATTGGTGATTGTCAGCAAACGCAATTGTAGCGGTCGGAGAATTATCTCTATGTGATTATTTATGAAAAACGCCTCGATTTAGATCTGTATAACTGTTTTTATCTTCGAATCACGGTGGAGGGGGTGTGGGGTTGCACATTGTCAATGGAGAGGCATCCCGCTCTGCTCCTTCACCCAGCACCAAGTGTATGTTTAAACTCCCACAAGTCTGGGAGGTTCGAACTATCGACCTCGGCCCCTCTTGGCGACACCTCAGCTACTAAGCCACAGGAAGTGGTTGTTGTACAGTATTTTTCTAATGCTGCTAAAAGCCTGCCGGCGCTAGTGCGTCGGTAGCGTGATTCCCCTCCTCCATCATGACCCGCGAATAGAATGCAGCCCTCTGTCTATCTGTAACCTAGCACTCCGGTAACTGTTGTCCGTTTCTACGTCTGTGATCTATATACAAGGCTTAGGGGGTGTTTACCCCACGTGTTCCCTTTGCGAAGATACTAACGTAAGTCTGGGAGTTCTGTTTAAGTTTTTTTTTTATCAACATGGGATACGGTGAGGTGACTTTGGTGATGGGGAAGTGGATGGAGGGGTGGTGATCGGTCTTGTTCCGCATATAGGCGAAAAAGAAGCCACAGCTTCAGGCGTTCCTCGTTACTTCCTCTTGGTTGTACCCTTGTTTCTTTCCTGAAGACATCAAACTGGGGAAACACCAATGCAGGATTGCGTGAATCGAGTGATATTCTATGATCACAGTTCTCGGTGAAGACAACTTCACCAACCCCACCAACCCCGCCAACCCCGACAGACACACCACCACCATCGCCAAAAACATAAAAACAACCCTCAAATACTCCCTTTACGTAATTTCGTATGCGCACAACGCGAATCTCTCAGCCAGGATTTATCTCGAGTCCCTAAAGCGCATATAATCACACCATTATTCACGAAAAACCTCAACTTCTATCGCGCGGCTCTCAACTACACGTGCACACACAGGAGGAAGAGAATACGTCCAGAGTTAATCTCCCGTGCGCTGCAACAAAGCGGGCAGCCCGCGGGCGGGTAGCAGTGGGTCTCTGCATGGGAGAATTATAATCATATTAACCCAGCGCCGCGGATCAATCGATACAAACTTCCTGTGTTAGGAGGGGTTCTGAAAGAGTGGAAGACGTCGAGGTGTTATGTGGTGTCGCCGCCGGCCGAACCATATAGACAGCTTACAGGGAGCTGCTTTTCACGCGGCGAGGCAGCGCATCGGGACATTATTGTCACCGTTTCTGCGACTTTCACTTTAGGTAAGCTGTGCTCAAGCCACCATGCCTTGGCCAACAACCTCAGATTCCTACCAAGACTGCGGTCACACATACAGGCTCCAGTCTTGGAGTTATATAATAAAGCTACATACATTGAGATTGAGATATATGGCCTTACGGGCCCACCGGCTACAGCCTGCAGGCACTAAGATCCTATATTCAGTAGGTGCACGTCAACTTGCAATTGGGGCCTATTTATACTGCAGAACTATCTACTAATTTTCGACGGTCAGGATATACTTTACAGATATTCATGCTTGTCTATGGTGACTAGTGGGCTGGCGGTGTACACAGAGATACGAGAAGAGGCAAAGGACGGGCAGAAATCACGGCAGTATCAACAACGGCGGGATGGAAATCCGTGCGACTGCAGATATTCTAGAGATTCAAAAACCCTAATTACAAGATATTCCACCACCTGAAACTTAACCTTTTTTTGATGTGTCTTCAGATGATGCTTCCGGAGGATACGCTCTGTCAAAGGCCTCTACCTCGAAGCGGCCAATTTCGTATGTTGGGCAGAAACGGTATTTACCATGGGACCTGCATACCATTAAGGTTGTCCATGTCAACATTCCACACATTCCGCATATCTATCAATACCCATACTCCGGCCACGCTATCTCCAATCCAATCCTTCAAGTTACCAGCAGAGCTGTTTAAGCGGGCTGGACCCTTCTTTCTCGGGCCATACGTTGGGGAGAAGGTTATCAGAATAGGTTTAAGACACGTTACGACGGCTACGTGGTTGCAACTGGTTAAGCATATGTATTAGTTTTGAGATCCTATAGTTCAGCCGCGGCACCGATCTGTTCCAATCATCATTACCCTGATCTTTCTTCATTCGTAATTGAGCTTCTAGGCCTCAGATAGCGAGACCTCGATCCCCAACAGTCTAAAATGTCTGTCCATATGCGTTTTCGGAAATCGAGGCTCACAATGTCTTGGCACCATTCCGAATCCCCCAAGCCTCCGCTTGCGGGAGATATGCAAGCCACCCGAAATACCGAACAAACAAACATTCAGCCACCTGGATTATGGGGAGGTAAATATTCTGCACCATAGGCGGGGGTCGTTACTTAAGTAGTCCCGTGTCCACCCTGTCTAAACTGGAGGCGGGGGAATTGGTGGGGCGAATTTGAGGGATGGATCCTTTTTTTGGTATTGTTCCTGGCATTCCAGATGTATTGGCGTATGGAATGCTGAATACCTCAACCACCCAACCTCCAGGCTGCGTGCTTCAGCCACTAGTTTAGTTTAGATAGAGCGCAGAAACAGTTTTTGAAATAGGAATTAAATATCCCAGTTGTCCCCCGAGGTCTGCCTGTTCTCAAGAATTAGTCAAAACCAAGGACAAACGAAAGACTAACCCCACAGTCCCTGCAAAACTACGATACTAACCCAACAATCCACAGCAGCAATGAGCCGACACCGCATACTCCTCATCGTCAAGGTCTGCGTCGCCTTCCTCATCCCGCCCGCGCTCTATTCCCTTGCGGTGCCCATCTACCTCCTCGCCACACACCAGCTCGACGCCATGACCAAGTCCAACAGCATCCTCCTACTCACAACAGTACATCTCTCATACCATATTTCCCACATCAATTAATACATCACCACTAACAAAACCTGCAGTCAGTCTTATCACTTCTGTTCCTCTTCTGCTGGAGCTTCGCGCGCAGCAACGGGCCCATACGGCCCCCCTCCACGGGCAAAAAAGTAACCTTCCTCTTCAGTCTCCTCAGCACGACCTTCTGGCTCGCCTCGCTGTGGACCGGCGGCGTGGTGGCCGTCGAACAACTGACCTGCCGACCCGGCGCCGCTAAAGACGCCATGTTGTGGAGCGCGGGGATGACGTGCCGGCTGCACCGCGTGGGTGTTGCGTTCTCGGCTGTTGGATTGTAAGTCCCACCATGCCACCAACACATCCGCTATTTAATTGGGAGTTCTATCAATTAACAACTACCTCTATACAGCCTGTCATCGCTCATGATACTCTCGCTCATGGTCGAGATCTCTGACCGTCCGTTTGGCGGCGTGAGCACGGAGGCCACCATCAGCTGGACTGCGGAAAAGTTTCGTGAGGCATTGCTAGACCTGACGACGCAGGAGAATGGCGCAAACTTTGCGAAGGAGCTGTTGCAGGCGGATCGGGGGAAGACACCGAGGTCGTCGCACACGCCACGGTCGAGGACGCCGTTGAGTATTACGCAGGAGTGGAATGGGGGTGGACCTGGCGGAGGAGGGGAGTGAGGTTGATGTGGTGTTTTCTTGGGGCAAGATTCGGTTTGGTTTGGGAGAATGGGTTTTCTTTAGGAGAAGGGAGGAATGTAGTTGTAAATGTAGGTTTAGTAGTGCGGATTAGCGGAACGTGCCGAGACACGAGTCACGGTTCATGATTGACATCCCTGTTTCACGTGACACACAGAGTTGCAAGCTTAGGGTCTGATAAGCCTTATCATCACAATTATTTCTCCGAGCAGTGACATGGAAAACAAAGATAGGAATCAACATTGGCATGATGCGCCCATTGGGTTCTGTATCACCTTCGCCGGTCAAGTCGCACGATGATTGGCAGTGCAAGCTTCCAGCCCTCTAAACAATCTCTTCCAACCAAACCGAACGAAGTGCAAAAGCCAACTTACAACAGCGGTAGATCTGTCTCAGAACTATTAGGAGGTCCCATATCTCAAATATGATTGCTTTTTCGCTCTAAAGATTCTCTTACTTCTGCATCCGGTGCCTCCTAGCCCGTAGTCAAAAGGAGGGTTGTGTCAAAAACATATGATGGCTTGGTTGTGTGCTATCTCTAACCGTTACTGATCTCTATCCTCGTTGATACTCGACTCCATAAAGCATCCAGTCAGAGCCATAGAGAGCAGAGCTCCTGTCCTATGCATCGCTTCGCTCTGGAAAAAGTCACCCAAAACCCAACCTAACGCTACCAACTCCACTGCAAATTCCTCTCATCAAGGATAATTATTTTGAATTTTTTTATTCAGCAAAAAGCAGCAAATTACTCCGCGGATAGATTTTTTAGCCCCTTCTTCCCACTCTACTCCACCCACCACCCAAATCCCCTCTCTATTTACCACCAGCAGTTACGGCGGCAGCCGCAAGCGGGGGCGCGGCCGCAGCAGTCAGGTTCGCGAGCTTGTTCGAGAGGTCTATCTGGGTACGGATTGTGTTTGCCAGGTACGAGATCAAGAGGACGTCCTGGATGTGTGTGTTGAACATGCGCTCGACGTCTGATCCCGACACCTTTGGCGCCAAGGCCAGGGTGTTCATGAGGAACTTTCCGATCGCAGTAGAGCCCTCGGTTTCGCCATCCTTTTACATCGTGGTTAGCACTGAGGTGGTAGGAGAGGGGGGGGGGAGACTCACAATGACTTTTGCGACGTAGTCGCTGACACGGTCGAGCATGCCGAGCACTTCCTCAATAGCCCGCTCGAGCGCGTGGATGTCTGTCATGACGCTGACAGTGCGGTCCTCGGTGTTCTTTGCGCCGGCGATGAGCTCGAGGCCGCTGCGGTCGCTGTCGTTGTAGCGGATCTCGTAAGGTACGGGGACAAAGAGGCATGAGTCGGCGATGCGGTCAGGGTTGACGCCGACGGCAGAGGAGATGTATGTCCTGATGGCAATGTCCTTGCCCGGAGCGGTGGACATGGTGAGGTGCACTGCGGGGTGGGGGAAGGTACCCTCGCCGTTGGAGGCGTAGAAGTTCTGGATGAGGGCAGAGAAGGTGTTGAGTTCGGGGGAGGTAGCGTACCTAGTCTTGAGTTAGCAGGGAGAGAAAGGGGAGGGGACGGCGGGGGGCGGGGGGGAGATTACCAGCCGACCAGAACCTCCTTGGGGTTTGCCTTTAGGTGGAGGCTGAGCATGGTCTTGTGGTAGTCCATATCTACTTCGACCTATATCTCAGGTGCTTCTCCGTAAGCCCTCTCTACTCATCCCATCCTATTCATCCTATCCCATCCTATGCAATCCTTGATTCCTCATGGGCATAACGCACCTGTTCCTGGCTCTCATTATGGCCAACCGCGAAGCAATTCCTGATCTCCACCTCGCTCCCATCCTCGCTCCTGACACCCAGTAGTGTTCCAATAACTCTCTCCTGGTCGGCGTTCCGTCTTAACGAGTGGTCGAGGATCGAAAAGAGCGCCTATACCATCACCGACTATATCAGCAACACAGCCTCACCACCCTAACTAGGAGGGTAGAAAAAACCGACTTGCGCATGAATCTGGACGTTCAACGGGCCGGTTGTTGCGTGGGCGGGCGAGACGTTGAGGGTTGGCAGAGGCCTGGCAAGGTGGATGTATGAATCTTGGTCGGTCATGATGGGTGATGACTGGGGACTTTCCGCCGCGATCTGATGTGGGTGGGTATTTTTTTGTGAGAGCGGGTTGTTTACTCTAGAGAGGTGGGTTATCGATGGCGCGGGGCAGCTTGGTCGTTGGGGCGGATGCTGCTGGCTGCAACGGACTAAAGTTTCTTTAGGGTTTTTTGATTTTTTCGTGGGGTGGCTTGGCGGGAGGGTAAACCCTACCTTGTCAATGATGATACGGTATCGTGAAGATACATGTATGGAGATAAAATTCGGTGCTTTACTGCAATTGACTGACTACAGTTAAATCGGTGATCATATATATTCATGTGGCTTGGGGTATACTGTAAGGACAAGATTCATACACTTCCCATTGTAGCGACACTATCGTAAGCAAATGTATCCTGCTACACTCGAAAGTCAAACTTACATTCCCGGAAACATATGGAGGAAAGAGGTACATGTATGCAGGTGATTGGATAATATAACTACCTGTAAGCTCTTCTCGGTAATTGATATGCGATTTCATGATTTCGAAAGCCTTGATTTGCCCTGTAATCTGGAGCAATCTGCATAAAAGTGAGATTCTTTTAATTAAGCTAGGCCTGGCCGGTATATCACAGCTAAGATATAAATAGAATCTTTCCTAGTGGTTTTTTAAGACTGTGTCTTCACCTATCTAACAGTATCTATAAATGATACTCAATGTCTCAACGAGCGATTCAGGCTATTGATGAACGAGTTCTTTCTATCTGAGGTCTGGATTGGTCTCGAGAAGATTGCTCCGGCCGGCTCTTTTTGCTCTATTGCTCGGATGCTGATGAGAGGAAAGATGATTGAGATTAAACGGGCTGTCGCAGCTTAACTTATAGGTCTCGAAGCTAACACATATCTTTAACTGATTACAACTGTAACGTGTTTACAAAACGTTAGTACATACCTGAGCTTTCTGATCCGCTTGGAATTACATACATTTCCGTTTTCCTTCTTGCGGTACGTCTAGATACTTTATTACCTGGTATTTATTCTTCGTCTATTGCGATTTATTTCTTGGCACGAGAATCCCCACATCGTTATCTTATCTGATTCACTCAGGTAACAATCTAAGTCATACCTAGCCTCTTCCGAACAGCCATAATAATTCACTCATCGCGATTTAGAAGGGCGATTCGTAGTACTATTGTAGCTCCAGGTGATGAGAATGTTACACAGTAAATCCCAGGAAATTGGTCCTAATATCGCAGCTTCCGCATTTTTTTGACAAACATTTCATGAACGCCACTCGAGCACTCTTAGAAGCTAGCTGTGGCTCGATCCAATTCCAGTGGTGGACTGCTGCTGCTGCTGCCTAAACCGCACCTACCTCGCATCGACAGCAAAGTCATTTCCAACCTCCACCACAAATCACCTATCTACCCCGCAGTCGACTTTTCTCCAAAATTGAAGCGAACAAGTGACAAAATCATCCATTGAGCAAGCATACCGTGTGCTGCAAACAAATCTGTAAGTTAGCAAACACCCCGGAGATGAAACAACGATAGCGTTCTTATCGCTTATCTCCAACTAACCGCCCAATTACCAGCTCTGTGAACTCCCTACCATGGAGGGACAATCAATTGAACCAACCGATATGGGGCCTGAGACGTGGTTCGCGACTGTTAAGCACCGCCACAATATCGACTTGATCGATGGCTATGCGGGGGCCGAGTTCTTCGTCGTCGAAGGCGACTCTTTACTACGGTGGGTGTTCTCGGACACCCGCATCGATTTCGATGAAGGGTTCCAGCTGCTGCATGCAGTGTTTGTCGTGGAAGAGTTTCTACAACGGCTGAGGAGGAGGAGGTGCAACTTTGCACTTGTTTTTTTCGACGGTGTGTAATAACTACCCTCTGCTGGAATCTTTCAATCAACTAGTCGGGTAACATAGAGAAGAAGTCGTTGGCTAAAACAAATTCCCCGTGCAATAGCTTGTGAAAAATTATGCATACCGCCGACACCCACAGGGGCGAAGAACGAGTGGAAATATCGGTTTGCGAGGTCGGCTATCGTGGAACATCTGATGGGTGTGGAGGGGCTGGTGTCGAAGTTCAAGAGTATCGATGATATGGGATTCCGGCGGTATCTAGATGATAAACGACCATACTTCGTCATGGCCCACGATGGAGGGGATTCCGAAGATACACGGAGACCCTTATTAGAATCACTGAAGAAGTTAATCGACATTGGTCAGAATGTTGCGTTAATCAATGAGTGTGAGTTCGTTGATAGCAAGGTATTCATCGTCTTTAGGAAAAACAATGCTCGCTACCCTTCGTGCTGATTGATCCTTCGTATCGCTAGATTTTCTCCACCGTCCTTAAAACAAAGTACACCCGCGAGCCGGTATTTCTTAAAGGAGGGCCAGATGATGAGACACCCGAGGAGCAAAAGGAAAAGCTTTCGTTGCCCGAGTTTAGCTCGGCCAGAGAGCGCTTGTCTGTAGCAGCCGTTGCCCGGTCTCTCAAGCAGGAACACCCCGACGGACAACAAGAATACCTGCATAGTGTATTTCTGCTTCAGACTGCATTGTTGTCACACCTTTCACTTTTGCAGCGATGTTTCCCTCTCCCCGAAAACGCAAAGTCGGGCCCAGAATTCCACAACTTCTTGCAACGCATTACCGCAATATCCAAAGAGCTTCTACAAAATAATGAGGTTTCGTTCGAGGATGCCAAGAATGATGTTTGCGATTTCCTTGATGGGCGGCTTCTATTGAAACTCATCCTGCTCACCCCAGATCCAGTTTCAGATGCTGTTAAGGAAACCTTCTCGAAGCTATCCTCCGAGGTGCATCGTCTTAGCGACGTGACTCTCACCTTCCCCGAGCTTACAGGCACCGAAACCGTTCCTATCCCAGATGCAGCACCAGAGATAGAGCACGCCGAAGACACGGCATCAGTAGACGATTCCGGAACTGAAGGATCAGCAACAGAGGTTGCATCTTCAAGCTACTCAGAATCGTCCACCGCAACATTGACTCCCCGTCAAACGACTATCCTCCGCTTCACCAACCCTGTGCTCGACCCCTACCTGTCGCAGGTCAAGCTACCGATTGAAGTGTCCACGCAAGATGAGGAAAATACTGAAACTGACGCGGATATTCAAGTTGCTCGCGAAACCCAAACCTGGCAATATGCGAAAAAGACGGTTGTTGCTGCGCCTGTAAAGGCGGCTAAGAAGCCCTCTCTTGGGGTTGGCAGACTTGGAAAGGTCACACAAGCACCGACAAAGGGACAGCAAGGTGATAAGTTTGAAAAGAGAGCCGCCGGAAAGGTCAGAAGGTCAGAACAGCAGTACTGCAACCAGATGAACCGATATGCGGCGTCACTTACGGATTCTACAAACGGTGGTATCGACCCAAAACTCATCGTTGTGGAGGAAAAAGGGAAGAAGAAGGAAAAGGGGCCGGAGAACGTACCCGAGGCTGCTGATAAGACTGCAAAGGGTGGAAAGAAGGTCATTGGGAAAAAAGAAACTGTTCTCGCGAAAGGAAAGACCACCGTGAAGGAAACCGCACCCAAGGGCAAGACGACGGGAAAGATTTCAGCTGCCGAGATCATCCGCCAAAATAACTCTGCGAAAAAGGCTGGTAAAGAAGCTAAACTGCAAGACCTTTGGAACAACTTTTTCCGAGACGTAAAAAAGATCACAGACGATGAGGATGCGATGGCTAGGTTGGATACATGGCTGAAGGAGACGAAAAAGACTGTAAAGGATAATTCGGAATGGCCATTTATCCAAGCTGAAGGACGGCTGTATAAATTGCAGCTTCTCCAACGTCTGTGGACTGGATATTGTCGCCGTGGTGAGCAGAAACAGGGATACATGGTTGCTGCAGTCCTGTTCGACGAAGCTCGCACGATTCTCGGTTCGGGAGGCTTGACACAGAAAATCCAAACTTATATCCAGAACATCTTTCTCTCGCTCGGAATTGCTATGCCTCCGGGAAAGCCAATCAAGACACTCCCCGACCGCAAGCTTTCTATTCTCTTCGACGCAACCTGGAATGGAAAAATAGAGTCTCCCGATATTAAACTTGGCATGTCTAGTGAGGAGTTTCAGTTGTTGCATTGTGGGCCTTGGATGGATCGAAATATGGATTCCGCCCCGGATCCACGTGTTCCCTTTGAGCCTGATGGTTGGCAGAGAAAAGTGTTGGATGAGCTTGATGGTGATAATTCTGCACTTGTGGTTGCTCCAACTTCTGCGGGTAAAACTTTCATTGCGTTTTATGCAATGGAGAAGGTTCTTAAGGAGAACGATGACGGTATCCTCGTTTACGTTGCCCCAACCAAAGCTTTGGTATGTTGACTTAGCAATTTCTGATCATGAGTTATCACTCGCAGCTAACAATTAACCTAGGTGAATCAAATTGCGGCCGAAGTTATCTCTCGATTCAAGAAGAATTATCGTTATGCCGGAAAGTTTGTTTGGGCAATCGGAACCAGGGAATGGACTATCAACAAGCCTAAAGAATGTCAAATTCTCATCACGGTCCCTCATGTCCTCCAGAGCATGCTGATGTCACCTACAAATGCCACATCTTGGACCCCTCGCATCAAACGCATCATATTCGACGAGGTTCACTCTATTGGAAACGCTGAAGACGGTGCCATTTGGGAGCAACTTTTGCTGCTATCCCCCTGTCCAATTGTCGCCTTGTCTGCCACTGTCGGCAATGCAGAGGAATTCTCCTCGTGGCTCAGAGCAACACAGAGTGCACAGGGCGTCAATCTCAGCATGGTACAGCACCCACATAGGTACTCTGATCTTCGCAAGTTTGTATACCGGCCAAAGAAAACTCAAGAGACTATGTTTAATGGGCTTCCAAGGACGTCTCGCTTCCAAACTTTAGAGTTTGGCGACGGGATGACTAGGATACATCCGATTGCTGCCTTGGTGAATACCAGAATTGAGATGCAGGATGATTTGTCGCTTGAACCTAAAGACTGCCTCCAACTTTACTGGGCGCTTTCGAAAGCCCAGAACGAGAAATTTCCTATCTCTGACGAACTCGATTACAAGAAGGTTTTCGGGACGAAAGGCGGGGTGATCGTAAAGAAGGATGTGGTAGAGTGGGAGGAGAAATTGAAAGAAGTTGTGAAGGCCTGGATGAAGGATAAAACATCGCCTTTTACGAAAGTGGTTGAAATTTTATCAAATGAGCAGATCGCAGAAAAGAAAGCTCTTGAAACCAAGGCTACGACCGGCGCAGAAGGTGAGGCAGAGACTAAAACTACTACAGGTGCGGTTATCGAGAAAAATGCCTACTTGTATCAGAATACACTTAATCTTCTACAATCTCTCCATAACGCGAACGCTTTGCCAGCAATTCTCTTCAACTATAGTCGTCAGAAGTGTGAGACAATCTGTGGAGTCCTTTGTGAACAGCTCGAGGTCGCCGAGACTAAGTGGAGGGAAACCAATCCAAAGTGGACCAGCACAGTCAAAGCTTGGGAAGCATATATGGCCAACAAGAACGCGCGTGGATCTAAGGTTCAAAAGATTGCGAAACCTGAGGCAGGTCAGTCTAAGAATGATATGATGAGGGATGCAGGCGAACTCGAGGGAAGCTATTTGGATCGGTTCGACCCGAAGTATCCGAGTGCCGAGTTCTCGTTTGCAGACACCAGGAAGCAGGGAAACGCAGAGTTGGAAAATGATATCAACGACTTGATTAAGTGGGGAACTCCCCCGATGCTAGTGAACGCTTTTAAGAGGGGAATTGGTGTTCATCACAGTGGTTTGAACAGGTAAGGTTGATTCTTATCTTGGTGAAATATACATTACTTACCTCTTTTAGAAAATACCGACAAGCTGTTGAGATGCTGTTCCGGAAAGGGTATCTTAGAGTAGTGATCGCTACCGGCTCGCTTTCTCTCGGTGTTAACATGCCAACGCGTACAACGGTTTTTGCTGGGGACTCTCTCGATCTCACTGCCTTGAACTATCGTCAAGCTTCTGGTCGTGCTGGTCGTCGTGGTTTTGACAATATCGGAAATGTTGTCTTCCATGGTTTCTCAGAAGACCGAATCAACCGTCTCATATCATCGAAGCTACCTCCTCTTCTTGGTCACTTTCCAATTGGTGCGTCATTAGTACTTCGCCTATTCATTTTGCTGCATTCCTCGAAGGAATCTGCACATGCGAAGAAAACAATCAATAGTTTACTCACTCAGAACCAGCTGGTTCTCGGTGGACAAGCACCCAAGGAACAAGTCCTCCATCACCTCCGGTTTTCTATCGAATACCTCCGGAAGCAGAAGCTTATCGGCTCCACTGGGACACCATTGAACTTCGCAGGGTTAATGAGCCATCTTTATTATGTTGAGGATTCGGCTTTTGCGCTTCATGCTCTATTGATCAGCGGTTATCTGCAGGAGGTTTGTAGAGATATTTACGAGAAGCCAGAGCAAACCTGCCAAGACCTCTTGCTCGTGATGGCCCATATCTTTGGACGCAGGAAATGTCGCCCAGGGATCAAAACTCTTCCCCCAATGCCGACTCGCATGAAGCAGATTCTCAAACAACAGAATGATGATACACTCAAGACATACACCACCTATGTCGAGACATTCGCGAAGGGATACCTGAACTCTCCGGACAATATTTTACCATTCTCGAATGTTCAGTGCGGAAATACAGAGGAGAAGTCCACTACTGGCCCCACAGCTCGTTCGGCATTCGTAGCGCTCTCCGGTCATACTGACCACTTCTCATCCATCGACGACTTGGTTTCCTCTGTCCGCCTCGGGGTTCTTCCCGAAGGCGCATCGATACCCCATATCCCGACCGACGACATGGACTTGAACGGATACCTCGTCGATTTCTACAAGCACAGCGATGTAAACAAGCTTCAAGCTGAGAATGGAATTCGTCCAAACAAGGTCTGGTTTGTATTGAAGGATTTTTCGGTCGTACTCGAGACTATCGTACCAGGAATAATAGCAGTTCTGAAGGATGGGCCTGGCGCGTATTATGACTTGAGCGGGGGTAGTGGCGATGAAAAGGGTGATCTGGAAGAGGTGGAGGTTGTGAGCGAGGAGGTAGAGGGTGAGGAGGAAGAAATGATCAAAAAGAGTGAAGGGTTCGGGAAGGTTCTCAAGGCCTTCAAGGTATTGAGGTCCACCTTTGACGAGAAGTTCAAACTCATGTGGGCTTAAATGTTCGTTGCATGGGGCAGGGGAGGGGAGAGAGGGGGGAGTGGGTATATACTCTGCTATTTCAAAAAAAAAAAAAGTGCAGTATTGTTTGTAGCTATTTTGATCTATATCCTAGATAGTATTTGCTAAAATCGCGAGTAGTAATCCAAAATTTGTAGCTGGTTGACCTTGGTTGAAATAATCTTTTTGTTTGGAAGTGTCACACGATAACCTCTAGTCTCAAAAAACACACCCACAGATTAGCAGCTTTGAGTTGAATAAGTAGATGGTTTGATTTTAAAAGCTAAGGGAGGAATCCCTCCATCTAGACCCCCGAGATTGATTACAGTCTTCTGCATTCAGCACCTGCGACTATTACGCCTCTTAGTGGCGGAGTCTCCTATCTAAGCGGCATGCGCCACAATGAACGAATGATCGATAAACAATCACAAACGATCACTCGCAAGATCACGTGGCATAACTTGTCATTTTTCCAAGTGTCGGACCTTGTGTAGCAGATCTTACCTGGATTCTAGACGCTGGGCTGAAAAATAGTGTCCTATATGATATCGGCGGTGCTTTGTCCCCTTACAAACCTTTCAAAGACCTGCCATTCACTGGATGTATCTACTCCGACTTTGGTATTATGGCTAAGAGTACGTCCCTTTGGTGATTTTGTAGTTATAAAACTGCGTTCCACAACGGCTCAGTTATGTGAGTGCAAACTGCGACTACTAACTTAAAAACGGCTTTCTGATTGTTAAACACAAGTTATTGGGGTTACAGGACCTGATAGGGTCTCTGTATTAGAACGTCCCGTAAAAGGGCTTGCTAAACAGGCACAATTTTCCCTCTCTTAACCTCCGTTTTGACTTGTGTCCAAACGCACCCAGTGTCTTGGCACTTCCTTTCATGGATAAATTAATTAAAAACTACAAGTCAACTCTTCCAACGTCAACCCACAAACACCTACTCAAATCAATGGCCGACCTTGGTCCCTCGAATCCTCGCCTCAAGGACCTGCACCTCGGGGTGATGGCGTCCAAGCGTATCGATATCTTCAAACGCCTCATTCCCACTACTACAGAATTTCCTACCCATAAAGACTTCAAGCCGACAATCGACATGGCTCCACGCCCTTGCCCTGGGCTAGGTCGACTTGACCGCCTTCCCATGGATTTGCATGTTCAAATCTTCAAGCGTCTTAGTGTGCACACCATCTGTGCCATGCGCCAGGTCAACTCCTATGCGAAGTCCGTCGTGGAGATAATCCCAGCCTTCAACAGCACACGAAAGTACGCTCCTCACGCTTTCCAGGCCATCCTCCTGACAGGTGCCTGTACCCTATTTACCATACAGGATCTTTTCAACGTGCTTGTTACCCCAGGTTGTCACCTCTGCGGAGCATTCTCTGCCCAATTATACCTTCCGTCACTCTCTCGATGTTGCACCAACTGCCTCGAGCTCTCTCCGTCGCTAGAAACAATGAAGATTTTCATCGCCCAAGATCTCTTTGGTCTCACAGGTAAACAGATCAAAGAGATGACTGGTGTCGTTAACGGGATTGCCGGGTGGTATCATGACTACACTATGTATAGCTCGGTCAAGAGTACACCGACCCTTGTTTCGAGAGCCATGGTGGAGGCTGCCGCAATCCGCTTTCACGGGGGTCGGCTCGAGATGGAGCGCTTCGTTGAAAACCGCATAAAGAACGTAAAAAGCCGCCGATTCCACACCAAACCCCAAGAAGAGTGGCATACAAGAAAGAGGGCTACTGTCCAATTCCCGTTGCTAGACATTAAGAGCGGGGAAACCGCTGACGGAATCTACTGTCGCGGCTGTCAGTTGAAGCACAAGCTCCCAGGTTATAGGAATTATGCGGCTTGCGTTTTCAACGAGCCGGATAAGGCCTGGCGGATAAGGGATGTCGCCTACGACGATGCGGGGTTCAATGCCCACATCAGATTGTGTCAGGACGCCAGGGACTTGTGGAAACAAAGTGAAGGTAGTAGGGAATGGTGGTTGAACCTTAAGGACGAGGGGATCAAGTGGTGGGAAGAGAGAGGATCAGAGAGGAAAGACAGGAAAGCTAGCCGTGTCGGTAAGCATAGAATGGATTACCCTCAGGAAACCCCTGAAGCCTTCCGCCATCGAACTGTCGCCTACCTGAGGCATCATTCGTGCATGGTATCTCCAGCTTCATTCCGTTAAATTTTCAGTCCAACAGACGGGCGTTTCCGGGATCCTCTGCTTTGGTTGCTTGTGTGGAGGATTAAGGCGCGGAGTATGTCTATGCTGGTAAAGAAGGTAAAGACCCGTGGAAGATCAAGGCAAATGCCCCTAGCTATAATATGATAACTGTCGCAAATAAACATATCATATTCGTTCTAAGAATCTTGTGTTTGTGAGTCTCATACTCAGGTCATTACTTGAAACACCTTCAAACACTTGTACCTATCACTGCGTATCAATGTCTAAATCTTCGTAAATGTACCTTGTGATCATGTAATGTCCAACTCACGCCGAGAACGCCAACGCCGAGAGAGAGTAAAGCAAAACGGAGGTTAAGATGAAGTAACACAGAAAACCGCTCCTTCCCAGACCGATAGATCCGGCGTGTGAGTTTATCACTGATGCATGATGTTCCAATAGTTCTGGGCCGCACCCGGCCTCGAATAGTTCCATTGAGAAAAAGACAATTGATCATGACAAAGTGGGCCGTTACTTGATGAAACCCTGAGAGTCATTATTTCGACATACGAATCGTTCGCGGGGGTTTGGTAGTCTGCAGGCTGATAGTTCGTATGTCTTTATATCAAAGCGTCATTGAATTTTTGGGCGTAGCGAAATCTGTCATTTTACACTACGTGTTACTTTACAGCACGTCTACTGAAATCTGTCATTTTGAATCTTTTCCGTATTTTCAACGGTGGATGAAGATACAACCAATGAAATAATCAATCAAATCAATCAAACGGCGGATGAAGTACAGGCAGCCACCCACCCTGAGATATATATTGCCGACCTTATCACATCAGTGGAAATGTACTCGCAGAAAAAAATCAGTTAACCAGCCTCGAGCCCAAACTCCTCATAGGCAAGAACGACGATTAGAGATATATGGAGACCTTTGCGGAAATTTAACTACGAATCGTCGGTGCAACCGTCTCCTCGATCTTCCTCATAAACACAATGGGTATCCTAACCACAGAAAGATCCAATATATATATACACACACCCACCTGCATGCTTCTAAAGCTGCATTTCTTCAACCCTTACACGGGGAGGGAAAAAAAAAGAAAAACATCATTAGCCGAGGGTTGGTTGAGAAACAAAGGGAAAACCCATGGACTCAGGGTTTGCTCCTCGATTGAAAGTCGCGGAATATAATATATGGCGTATATAGGATAATGCCTTTTACTTTTGACATCCCACAAAACAGGGAGTTGGGGCCTCGCAGAATGAGTATGTATAATTACTTTTCTGGATGACACGAATACTAGCGTTTACCACCCGGAGGTGCAGTCTACAGTCTGACGTTTTCAAATTTATTCTGATCTTCCAGCGCCTATATATTTTCTCCTACAACTCGAGTCCAGCGTACCAGGATCCTTGGGCAAGTAACTCACTTTAATATGGCTTCCGAGCACACTTACTCTTAACTATTATTTCACTCGTGCCTTCAATTATCTGTTCTCATTTGCAGAGTTATTTTAACAAGATTTCATACTGACACTTTTAATTCTTATAACAGGTGATTCCTAAAACTGATACATTAGGAGACAAGCTCTCAAATCCCCCCACAAACCGAGGTTTTGGAGAAGCTCGAGTGCCCTGTTCCTGGTTCGACTTTGGGAGTGGAAAGAAAGCATGGCCCAGTTTGTGGCTAATCCCGACTACAGTACAATCTCCTTGTAAGGGTACAAAAGTGACGCGAAATCGATACACCCCATCTTCCTCGCCTCGATGCGCCTCGTGGACAACACTGGTCTTACCTTTATAGGGCGTGTACCCTTATCGGAGGAGCAAATTTGCACCTACGAAGCCCATAGCGGACCCCAACACCTACTCTTATAAGGCGAATACCCCTATAACCCGAACTCTTATAAGGAGATTGTACTGTAGCTGGCTTTTTGTTTGATAATTAATGCATATGGGGCTAGAGAAAATCCCGGTCTAGTCATTGATAACTTCTTCCAGGTTCTAACTGCTGACAAAAGTCGTATATATAGGACAAAATTCTTGGGACAGACTTCCGCTGACACCGATTTCGAAAAATGTCATAAGATATTTGGTAAGTAGCTTTCGGACGCTGACAACTGACACCCCAGCTACAGTACTCGTGTAGTGCATACTAGCTACATGCCAAATTGCAAAAAGGATAGAGAAGAGGAGAACGAGGTACAAGTGCTTGACCTGGCTGCCTGCATGTACTATTTTATTAATCCGCTGAAATATACTGAGACGGTCATAGTTGGTGCATGTACTTAGCTATTCCATGTCCGACACTTCACCAATTCTTCTACACAAAAAGCAACACCCATACACCCTTCCCCCCTCCCCCTGGCTGTTGGCACTCCCAGGGTGCATCAATCATACGCTATCACTCGTTTGTCTTGGCTCCTGCGAGGATTGTGAAGGAGACGCCTGGGTCCCCAACCTAAGTCCTGCTGCGGCGGTATCACCTATCCTCCTATCCAGATTGTATGCCTCATAGCTAGGCACGGTTAGATAATTGGTGGTGATGAGGTCGTCCGTGTTACTAGCCAACCATCCTTGGCGCACAAATATCATTTTTAGCCACCAACACACATGGGCGAGTGGTCTAATGGATAACCCTCGCCAAAGAACACCGCGAGGTTTAGCCCTGCTTTCGATCACAGAAGGCCAGGGTTCGACCCAGGGGTGGGAGTAGTGCCAGTTCATCCCGGAACCGCACAGTACTTTTTGTTCTTTTTTTGTGTATGAAAGAAGAGATACTATAACCACCCAAAACGTACCTCTTGGGGTCTTTTTTGATTTTGATAATAGTGCCGCGGTTGAATTTGACATTCCGTGGCATTTTGGGTGAGCCCGTTGCCACGCAGAGGTCAGGGTTAGGTTCCGCTCTTGGCCAATCAGAGGGCGAGTAGGTTCGCAGAATTAAGGGCAGTACATATTAGATGTTCATGAAGGGGCTAGCTGCAGGTGAGTGGTGGGGGGTAAACATTCTAACGATCGACTTCGTTCGTATGCTCTGAATGCCAACCCCACCAACATCAAACGTCCTTCATCCTCATCACAAACGTAGCCTCAAAAATATACCCAACAACATGTCGGCACTCTCTCCCCACGCCACCTCTCTCAAGTTCCAACCTTTCTCTCCCACCCCCCCACCCCAAAAAAAAATAGAAAATAAAAAGGCTTCTTCTTCTTCTTCCAGAGATCGAGCCATCAACGACCCTTATGCCCTGATTAACGCGGGATTAACACAAGGAAGGTAGATACACCGCCGAAGCTGCTGGCGTGCTTAATTGAGATGGGAAATAATGTATTTGGGCTTGCCGCTAAGCGGATTTGGGCACGGCTTGGTGGTGGTAAAACATGCATTCTACTCGATAAATTCAGACGCTTTCCTGAGTTCTTAGCCGTACATAACCTCCTACTGCAATTCCAGATAATTGCTCAGTTCTGTAGAGCTAGAGCACAGTCCTCCAGCCTTTACATAACTCCCACCCGCCGACCCCAAGACTAAGCCCCATCTGTAGTCTGGCGCGTGACGACAAGGAAGGGTACTGTACTTTGGATTATGGGTATCAAGTGTTCTCTATAAGTATATATGGGAGGCCATCAATTGGGGGAGAAGAGGGGGGGGGACGGGGGCGAATCTCCCCCCTCCTGGATCCCCTCCGAATACCCTTTGAGTACGCTGCACTCCCACTACCCCCTACCTCCCCCCCCTCTCCGTCTTCATTCAATTCAATTCACATATGGGACCTTTTTGTTGCACCATAGGGTTTCCGACCGCCCACCAAAAACAGCATTAAAGTATGTACATCTAGATTTCTTCTCCAGCCAACGAGAAACGGGAAAGCGTAAGTGGGGCAGTCAGTAGTGGGCCGAACCGGTGCCGGCTGTCGAAAAGCCATATCCACGCAAATCTCGCCGTTACCTATCCCACTATACCCCGCAACACAACTCCCCTAGCTCCATTTTCGGCATGAGAACGAGGGTGCAGCGGCCGGTGCTCTATTGCTATGGTGAGGGAAGGAAATACACTCGGGGGTTGGGTGGGATATCTAGGGCTGAATAGACCCGGTAAGATTTTGGGGGGGGGGGGGGGGGGTAGTTGGCTGTTCCACGGGTTCTCTATGCTTATATGTTGGCGATTGGATTGTGGGTGGAGGTGGAGGTGGTGGTGGTGGTGGTGGTGAAATGGGACGGGATGGCGGGGTGGCGAGGTGAAGTGAGGTGAGGTGAGGCGAGGCAGCGCTATGGACTACGACTTGCCATGGAACCTCCCATACTCTTTACCCCTACCAATACAATACAATTAATGAAGTAATCAATCAATCAATCCCCACCAATACACACGTTAGACGCTATCAATTAGAATGGAGTGCACTACACGCATTTCCCCTACAGTACTGCTAAGTAGTATCTAATGCAAATTCCACACATTAACACCGGCCCGCTTAATTTTGGCGATTTCACAACTCTGGAGAAACTAGTCTGGTTATGTACATCACAGCCAACCGCACCTCCCCCACGTGCACTCATTCTGATACTCTATTCTCCCTCTCCTACAAGGCCGGCGATGTAAGTATCGCTCTAGCTCTTCGCGTGCGCACGCCCGACTCCATATGAGTTCAGACCCGGTTGCGTCATGGCGTGTCACTCGCTATTTGCCATGCCTTTGGGGGGCGGGGGGCTGTGTGTAGCTCTGATAGAGCGGAGGGGTGGCGGAGTGGGGTTGAGGGCTCTGAGCTTGTGCTTGCCTTCTTGGTACTTGATACGGATCTTTTTGCAGTGTTTGCTGGGTTGCTGGTTCCGAATTCAGGATGGTAGTATCATGACCATAGCTGGGGTTCCTCAGCCGACCGGCAGTGTTATTGCACATACCAATAGAAGGGAGAAACTTTATGGCTCCACATGCACTGCTGAGGGAGAAGGAAACTTGATCCGTCTTGGGCCTCTTTGGCTCTGTGTTTGATAGGCCACGTGGGTGTGAGGCGAGGAACTTGCACACGGCGATACTTACGTCTGGGTCAGCTGTCCTTTACAATTTCTGGTTTGATCAAGCGACGTGTGCACACGCTCTTGCGCTCCGTAAAACAGCTGCCCGCTTTCTTCACTCCGGACTGATCTGATCTGATCTTCTTTCCATCCATCCATCATCCATCCATGCATCCATCATCCATCCATCCATCCATCCATCCATCCTCCATCCATCCTCCATCCATCCATCCATCCATCATCCATCATCCATTCTACGCCAGAGCCCACATAGAAAAGCTGTCCTCCGTCTGCTGCTGACTGCGATTCAACTGGTCTGCAGTATCCCGCCAACACTCATCGTCCTCACTATGAAAGCAGCCATACATCATCCCTCTATTAAATCCACCAACCCCCGCTGCTGGAAACCGCATTCCTCTTCTCGTTCCTCCCCCAAGGGAGCCAGAGCGAAACCCTAACCCTGCCGACTCTTGTTCCCCGTCACGTGACCAGCACCCAGGCACGTGCAGCGTTCCCGTAGACGACAGCTTTCATCGTTCATTCCGCTTTCCCTCGCTCGCACCTTTCGCACCGCCCTGAAACGCTCCGCTGCACTCGAGACCCGCTAGCGCCCAACCAAACACTCACACCTGCAGAACCGGAAGAAAAAAAAAAGACTACACACAGCTCCGTATCCCCGAAAGCGCTCCCCCCAGCCCCACGGACTGCAATATCGGCAGACAGACGGCGCCCGAGACCCCGAACCTCTCGCACTCGCACTCTCGCCCTCCTCTCCTCCGCGCACCCCCTCTGCTGAAGGGATGCCCAGCTCCTCGCGCCAATACCCATACACCTACAACGACAACTTCCGACCACCACCGCCGCCGGGGTACGTGCACACCCACAACCCGGAGGTGTCGCCGCAGTTTGTGTTTTCGTTTGTGCTGGCGGGGCTGCTGATCCTCTACCACATCCTGCATGGGCTGCTGCGGTGGCCGCCGCCGCTGGAGCTTCTGTTTATGATTGTCGGCACGGTGATGGGGCAGGGCACGCGCGAGATGCTGCAGAGCGTGTTTTCGCACGGCGCTGCCAGGAGCGTGAGGACGCGGGCGGCGAGCCTGGTGGGCTATGGCGGCGGCGACGGCGGGACGTTTGTCGGCGGGCTGTGGAACATGGGCAATACGTGCTATCAGAACTCGGTCTTGCAGGTGAGTCGTGCTGTGCTGTGCTGCCCTTTTTGCGGGTTGTGGTTGCGGTTGCGGTGGGGGGGGGGGAGTGCTGATGGTGTGCGGGTAGGCTATGGCGTCGCTGTCGCATTTGAAGCCGCATCTGATGTCGCTGTCAATCTCCGAAGATGAGGATTATATGAACCCCTCTGGCGCTCTTGCGTCCCTTATCGCCACTCTGAATGCGCTCTCTCCGAGCCCGCGCGCATTCACACCATCGCCAATAATAGTCAGAGGCACCGACAACTCGGGCTGGATCTACAACGAGCAGCAGGACGCACAGGAGTACTTCCAGAAGCTGACCGGCGCGCTGGAGAAGGAGGTATCGCGCTTTCTGGAACGAAAAAAGCGCAGCGCCACAAGGGGCCTAGAAGCCATTGCCGAGCTTGTGCACGGCGGAAAGGTGCAGGATCCAGAGTCGATCGCAACCCTGGAGAAAGAGTACAGAAGCCCTTTCGAGGGGCTGTTTGCGCAGAGAGTGGGATGTCTCCAGTGCGGGTATGTCGAGTCCATCAGCCTGCAGCGCTTCACGAGCCTCTCGCTCTCCCTGCCACCCACCGTAAGTCCACCTCCGCATCGTGAGGCCTCCATGCATGCTATGCTAACCCCGCCGCCCCCAGTGGACCTGCACCCTCGAGGGATGCCTCGAAGAGTTCACCGCAATCGAGCAGATCCAAGAAGTCGACTGCGACAAATGCACTCTTCAATCCCTACACGCACAGCTGCTCACGCTCTCCACCAAGCCTCTCGCCGCCGCCGTGCACACGCAAATCCAGGCACGCATCGACGCCCTCGCCGCCGCAATCGACAACGACAACTTCAACCCGCAGATCCCCGGCGTCAAGATCTCCCCGCGCCAGAAGGTGGCCACCACAAAGACCAAGCAGACCATGATTGCGCGCGCGCCACAGGTGCTCGTGCTCCACCTCAACAGGAGCCAGTATGACGTTGTCACGGGCATGACGGGGAAGAACCATACGGCGGTCAGCTTCCCGGCGAGGATGGACTTGGGGGGACTGGGGGTTGTGACGAGACATGATGTGGCGGAGGGGAGCTGGGGGCTGGCGGTGGACCCGGCGAGGAGAATGAGTGGCCGGGTGCCCGGGTGGTTCTTGAGGAAGGAGGAGGCGCTGGTGGAGACGCCGACGCCGACGCCGACGGATGAGGGCGCGGACACGGACGGCGTGACGGAGACGGAGACCGAGGCCGACGCCGACGCCGAGACGGAGAATGAGACGGAGAATGAGAAGGAGGGCGCACACCAGCCCGTCACGGCCACCACCACCACGTCCAGCACGAACAGCGAAAAGCTGAGCTACGAGCTCAAGAGCGTCGTAGCGCACTACGGCGGCCACCACAACGGCCACTACGTGTGCTACAGGAAGCAGCACGGGCAGTGGTACAAGATCAGTGACCACGACGTCTAGTACTCCCCCCCCCCCGTGTGTGGTGTAGTGGTGCAATACTAACAACTGGCTGCAGTGCATGCGACGAGGAGCAGGCTCTCGGCATCAGGAACGCGTTCATGCTGTTCTATGAGCGCGTCGTGGACGACGGGGTTTCCGGATCCGAGGGGCGGGAGTACGGGCGTGGACAGGGGGGGTATGGGGAGGAGGATGAGGATGAGGATGAGGGCTTTGGTGAGGGTGAGAGTGAGTGCCAGAGCGAGGGCGGGGAGGGGGTGGACAGTGATGGTGCGGAGGAGGTGGTGGTGGAGGGGGAGAGGGTGGGGCGGATAGATGTGGATGCAGATGCGGGTGCGGAGACTGGGGGACTGCGGAGGCGGCGGGGTGGGGATGGGGATGGGGATGGGGATGGGGATGGGGATGGGGATGGGGATGGGGATGGGGATGGGGATGGGGATGGGGATGGGGATGGGGATGGGGGTCGGTGAGGCCGCAGGACGGCGGCGGGAGGAGGAGGGTGGTGAGGGTGGTGAGGGTGGTAATGGAATGGGTGTTGGGTGTTGGATGTGGGGCGTGTATTATCATGTTTCTTTTGCCGTTTTGTCTGTGTTTTTTTGAGTTTTTTTTTGATGGCGTTTTGCGGGTCTGCTGTGCTGGGGCCCCGGGGGGGTAATAATATTGGACCTTTTTTTTCTGGTTTGGAACTGTAGTGGTAGTGGTAGTGGGCAGGGTGTATAAAAGCTGTTAACTTGGAATGAACGGACGAGAATGAAACGAATATACCGGTGTGGCCATGGTGGTTATAGGCGTGGGTGTTGGTGTGCGGTATAGCTGTTGTGTAGAGAGTCCTAGGAAACGTCGGGCAGTACTGGTACTGCGTTGGTCATTTCCAGAGCGAGTAATTTCCAGAGGCAGGAAAGAGGAAAAGGGGGGTATATGCCAATATTAAAACGTACTACGCATCCCGCCAGAGAGGGGCTGGGACCTACTTCTACCCCAGGACCCTCTATAGGAAGAGTAGATCAACTACAAGTACATCCATCTCGTGGGACGAGTGTTGTAGAGAACTCGTCCATGTAGCTATAGTTCTTGGCGGGAAATGATTGCTGCACGCGCCAAAGTAAAGATAATCAGAGGTGAGGTGGTGATATGTAGGTATGCTATAGCTAGTGCTGCCCTCCGCCCACACGGACGGACGACTTTACAGGAAGTATAGATCCTGTGGGAAACGCACTGTGGAGGGTGGTTGGGGCTATGGATGTAGCTGTTTGTTTCTGTTTTTTACCCGGTGCATGTGTCAAAGTCTCCAGTGTGATTATAGGTCTGGGTCTGGCAGCTGGGAATCAAGCTCTGCAGTGGTGCTGAGTACCGAGTATAGTGGAAAAAAAAAAAAAAAAAAAAAATCTAAAGTGGAACAGTTTGCGGTCCACGTGGTGTACGGTAATACCTTGGTGCTAGACGACACATTTCGCTATCACGGTGCTGTGCGTGGTGGTGGTGGTGGTGGTGGCTTCAAACTAACTATATATATATAATGCCATATTGATGCAATTGTTTGTCCCGGCCCCGCAGCTGAGTGCATGTAGATCTGGGGTGTCCCCTCCGGGAGTAGTCGGAATACGTGATGGGCCCGGCCGGGGCGACGATACGTGGTTACTGCAGCGAGGTTTGTTTAGTGCTGCTCTCACTGGAAAGGTGGGCCGTTGGAGGTCAGTGTGTGCTATCTTCCTATTCTGCCAGTGGGGTTTGAATAATTATATAATGGTTTGGAGGTTTTAAAATGATCCGAGTGCAAATAGCTTATATCAATAGTTCAATTGGTTTAATGCTTCGATGATGACAGTTCATCAAGACTGGTAGTGAGATGTGGCGTTTTAGATTGTAGAGAGGTGTGTTGTTTTGTATCATGTGTTGCTCTACATCACGTCTACCGGAAATTGTTTTATTTTAGACCTTTCCGTACTGATGATTAATACGAATAAAGGTCCAGATTTTTCTTTATATTTTACAACTACTTATAATTAAGAGATTGAGAGTATACATATACAGATGGGGAACAAGTCAGAGCAACACGTACTGTCAGCCACCGACCCATACTTCAAACACCGGATTCATCAGGATGATCGAAGAGCTGTGTTGGAGTGATATATATATCGTACTCCAGCTTGTAATAATCAGGAGGGTCCTGAATTGATGGAGAAGTATTTGGAATCACAGACGATCACTCGCGCAGCCAAATCCTTTTTTTTTTTTTTTTTTTTGGTTCAATGGGTTTCGCGAGCGGTGAGTACAAGTATGCTCATTGACATCTGTAGAGTTCTGTTAATTTGCACTTATACTTACGGAGCTGGTGTGCGACCTTAAGCAATTTTAGTCGAGATTTGGGTTTGGGTTTGGGAGTTGTGGGCTTGATTTTGGAGTTGTGTAACCGCTGGAGGGCGTTTTGACAGCGGGGAATTCGGGGTCCAACAGAATCTTCCTCTCCCACCGTCACAGCTTTTGAAACTATCAGCTTAAATCTTCCCCCTCAGCTAATGCTTTTGCGATTTTCAGTGATAGATAAATTGCGAGGCCAGTTCCGACGATCGCGACAACTACTCTTTGTCTGAGGTTATAAAAGCTACGCACACCTAGAATAGAAATTCGTTGGGGAGCGTAGATAACAGCTGCACACGTGCTGATCCAAAACCTCTGTCAACAGCCTTTGTGACGTTTGTTCTAGACCTCTCAGGGGCCTCTGTTGATTGGGCAGATATGTAGAGTATCAGTATCTCTTATCCTCCCACCTCTCCGCGCCTGACTCGAGACCTCAATTCCGGACTTTGTTATCAGGTGCATATTCTTGGCAAGATGCATGATATCAGTGGCTCAGAATATACACTGTGTTGGTTAAGATCGGCAAGTCATACTGCCCAATTCAGAGATAATAGTTGCAACCCGCAGGCCAGCCACTTGATTTTCAGGCCAGCCGTTTCTGCAGAGATAACAGGAAAGAGAATAAAAGCAGGAGGGAGCCCCGGGGCCGTCATGAAAACCATCACCCCCGCTGATCCACGCTCCACCTTCGTTCAGGCTCTCCCAGCCCAAGCCTTTGGACACTCTACACTTAATTCCTAGACACGACCGTTAGGCTCGGTTCCAAACAACATAATCATGGCGCGGTAGCAATAGCATACCCTCTCGCATCTTAGCCCGTGCCGGGTGTTCAATCAACCTCTTCTTCAAGAACCGCTTGTAAGTTCTTTCCCCAACTCCCACATATATATAGTAGGAAGCATATTTCCGAAAGAGGCTATACCTCAATATATGTAACTTCAGCGCCGGTCTCCTGCGCTGAAGGGTCATAGGGACGCATGCCGCAGGCTGCGCCGGAGGCGGTCTCACGCCTTCGGGTATTGACAATAGCTTATCCCTCCACACTTCCATGCAAGCTCGATTCCTCATGGTGGAGCTTGCAGGGCAAGTACCCCCCAGAGGTTTAATATGAGCTACGCGTATAGATGTAGCCTCCTCTGGGCGACTGGGTTACACCACCAGTGGATGTATGTGCTTATGAATAGATACACGTGTTGTGTTGTAGGATATCGACATTTAGCCTTTGCCGACCGTATCGATCGCGGTCGTTTACCACTGTCCTGAGTCGATAGCTAGTATATAGTCGCGTCCAAAATATACCAGGTGTATCGTCTCGTTTTACCGGAGGGGTGGAGGGTTGTGTCTCCATTGGAAACGATGCCGTCTACGGGACCTCGGGGTTGTTTGTACTCGCAATGAGCTCTGGGAGCTTCCGATTTCTTTTCAGTGACAAGTCCTGTTGCGAATGGGGAGTTGATTGTAGGAGGCTGTTGCGCGATTTGGAAGTATGTATACGAATGTTCATGGTGACGATAACGCTAGCAATGCTGATGATGCTGGTCGTAGATAGATGGAGCACGAGGCGTGGGGACAATGTCGGGGACGGGAGAGCGTCGGTGGTGGAGGCGGAGGCGGAGGAAGGAAGGAAGGAAGTATGTATTTGGAGTAGTCGTCGTAGCTGTGGCCAGGGGAGTAGGAGGAAGAGAAACTGTATTCAAAGTCGCTTCTAGGACCACGCGTTTGAGCCGGGTAGGAGCTGTTGGGACTTGTCACTCGGTGTTGGTGCTTTAGGGTGTGTGAATTGTTCGTGTTTTCAGTATTATAAAGATGATATTTGCGAGGCCTAATAATGAAGTGGTGATATACTGTAACGATCATTGAGTAATGGCCGTTTTAGGCAATACCAAACTCATCTCGTCCACGGGGAATCAATGGCTACTGTAGTCATGCCTCTACCACGCTCCGCACTGGTTTCCCAGTGCCATTTATAACCATTTGCACTGTAGTAAATGCATGATATCTGAGTTCGGGAGTGTTGAAAAGGTCCGTTGTGGCGGCTGAATATACCGGCGAAGTTGATTCCAGTTTACTCAGCTCTTGGGGTTTCACGGATATAAAGCACATTTGCCAAAGGTGGTCGGCGAGGTCGAGCTTTGGACTCAAACTGGTCTTGAATTTAATGGAGCTAATTGCTCTTTCCGGCTCAAAAAACGACGTTCGATAGTCTCCAACTTTGGTTTCCAGAAGGGCTGCTCTTGAGGATCACGCAGGCTCCACATGTAATCGAGAACGACAAGCTTAAGCTCGGAGCAACGTTTAGATAACACAAGCTCTAGCTTAAGAGTATGCTCCCTGGCCGGTAACCGTTGCCGGTCGGCAATATTGAGAAACCATCCCTCGCTATCCACGAAAGGTGTCGGGTGGAGCTGGAGAGATTCGTACGGATAGTCTGAATGGGTTTGGAGCTATAGGTAAAGATAAGATCGTCAGCAAAGGCTCCAAGTAAATATACCAAAAGAGAATTCGTACGGCGTACCAGTACATATACTCCTAGCTATGAAGTTGAGTTGTCGAGCACATGAGTTGGAACTGCAATGCCCGTCACGCGCGCATGGGATCGGAGAAAATCTGTATATACTTGCTTACCACGAAAAGAACCAGAGAATGCGCGCGCCGATCCGAAATCTTGACAGGGGTTTCGGACTGGGATGTGAGCAACCTCAGTTGTTCACGAAGAGGTAGAATTAATAGCCATTTGATTCAGTAGATACAGATAGTAGAGTGAGCAGAGACAGAAAAAAGCGGAAAAAGAAATCTGAACTGATCCTCCACGGCTAACAATGGGTGCGGCCTCAACCTCAACAGCTACCAATGGGTATGTCCACCTTCATTCGCAATAACAGCAGCGATTCTCTCAGGCATTGTATCAACGAACTTTAGGATTTCCTGTGGGGTAATTTTTGCCCACTCTTCCAAAATAGCAGCTCTCATCTCATCATTACCACTAGGTCTTGGATATCTTGCCCCCAATCTACCCTTTAACAATCCTCAGACATTTTTGAGTGGATTTAAGTCTGGAGAATTAGCTGGCCAGTCAATGGAGGGCATATTGTACTAATCTCGCTGTTTTTGAGTACTTTTGGCTCTATGAGCTGGTGCACCATCCTCCATTACCCAAAGCTGGCCACCTAAGTCCAAGCAGCTGTGGAACCAAAAAGGGTGCAGTGCAGGTTGCAGAACACGGTTGATATAGGTCTCTGCATTAATAGTGCCCCAATTTGGCCGGTCCCAGAATACTAGTCTGTATATGAATTAGGTATTATGAAAAAAGAAAAAACTTCCGGAATACTAACTCAGACTTGGTACCTCCTCCAATCGCTACCCATATCATAATTGAATTCGATTTTTTGAACTTTGGGACGATGCAGTCCTCTTCAAAAACCTCTTCTTTACCTATTGAATTAATTAGTAATTTATTCAAGTTTATCTAACGGTTATTATATTGTATTGAGTTACCTGTTTTACATGTGATATAGGTTTTACCGGCTGAACCACTCAACCAAATGTAGCATTCATCAGTCCAGACTGTCTTCCTCCAGTCCGTAACGGTCCAGTTTTGATGACGACGGGCAAATTCAAGCCGTCTAATCTTATGTGCGGCCGTCAAATATACCTTGCGTGCAATGCAACGGACATAACCCTCGTTGAGAAAGGCACGCCTAATTGTTTCTTGGCTGGCATTCACGCATTCTTCAGAAGCGATTTGGAATAGAGGTTTGCGGCGATTCTCGGTGTCGAGGGTAGCTCTTTGAACTAAAGCTTTACAGGTTGGGGTATCGATTTTGCAAGGTCTTCCTTTCTTTTTTTTAGGAGTTGCTGGTCCTCAACAGATGGCAAAGACGGTGCTAACACTAAGGCCTTGATTGCTAGCGATTTTTTGAAAGGTCCAATGAGCCCTGAACCGGAGTGCATGAATATAGCAGCGTTGCTTGTAAGAGACTTCATGAGTTTTGATAGCTATTGATGGATGAATAGTAATCTGTTCTACGGGTTTTTTACACAACTAGAATGGCTTTTTATTCTCTATTTCCTCTACTCGCTCCCGTTTGCACTCGTTCCCGTTTGCATTCGTTCTCGTTTGCATTATAACACAGCAGTATAATTTGATACCAGATCCCTGCCAGACCCCGGTCTGAAACCCCTGTCAAGATTTCGGATCGGCGCGCCAATATTGTGGCCAGGATCCGCGGGTAGTAAGGTTATGTGGACAGATACGTATGTATCTTTGTAGGCTGCGTTCTGTAAAAGGCGTATTAAAACCGGCCAGGTGGTAAGAACGAATTAACGGACAACAAAGCATCCCAACGTGACACGAAAACATCAGTATATCCACATGTACATGCATGGCGGCATCAGCGACCGAACAATGCTCATAAAAGAGAAGGAAATATCAGGCACAGTACTATACTTTCCTACGTTTCTCTCTGACAACCCAGGGCGCGCAAGCTGATGGAGATTACATTTCCCTCTGTTCTGGAACAACTCAAGGTATGAATCGGGAATGGCTTCATACCACTGATTACTTCACATGCTAACTTTGATTTACGTGCCCAGAAAAGAAAAGCTAGTCGATCCTCTAATTGATACAACTCTCGTCGCGAGAAGAACAAAATAAAATACATTTACACGAGAACCTAAAGAGTGTCCGAAGGGGGAAATCCATGATAACCCACCGTCCTCCATACATAACGTACATCATCTACCTACACCACATAATCCAACAATTCCCACGTCTATCTCACAAGCCCATAACCTCATAAGAAATACAGGCCCCGAACCCTCCCACCTCAATAGTCCCTCCCAGCGGCAAAGTCACCCCTCCCATTATGCCGCGCGCCAGCAAAATGGAGAGATGGCTTAGCTACCGGAAGAACCTACTGAGATGCAAAGTCCCGGAATCTGTAAGTCCTACGAAGCTATATGATACTACCTCATTCACTAACGGGGGAGACAGGACTACGTAGGTGCCACGACGACATGAGTGATACCAGATCCTCCATATCAGGTGTACGAATTGTAACGTCAACCTTCTTTTTGCTAGCTTGCGGAGATCTGCTGGGAGTATGTCGTTAGTTGGTGGAGGATGAAAAGAAGGAGGAGTACGAGTGTGAGAGAGCAACCAAGAGGGAAGGGAGGCTTACATTGATTCCGTGTCGATGGGGGTGACAGAGAAGGTTTTCTCCTCTCTGGAATTGCTTGTCACACCTCCGTCATTGAGGCCACCGGAGCAAGGAACAGAGATGGCATCTTCAGGACGGGGAAATATCTCTGCGGCGGTGCGAGGTGGAGAGACGTCTCCGGCGTGGGGAAGTCTGCCCTTAGGAATAGGGAATTGAGAGGCTTCGCCACTGTCATGGTATTCTTCTCCATTTGTATGCTCAACTTCAAGATCTATGCTTTCTAGTAGGAGCATTGATTTTTCGTTCTTTCCTTGGAAGGTATTTTCATTGTCATTTTTTGGCCTATTATACTGGTCCTCAATGATATCTCGAGGTACTTCTTTCTCGTTTTCCAGTTCACACTTCTTCTCTTCCTCGCTAACTGAAGGGACACAAGAGACTGCTGTAGAGCGATTTTCTTCGTCTGATATCGAGCATGTGATAGCGTTTTTGCTACTCTCAAGAGGGTTTGAAAATACCGGGGAAAGGAGATATTGGTCATTTGGCGGTTCAATCTCCTCTTCAAGCAAGACTGTGGCGCTATACACACCCTCGAAGCTGCCTATATCGACAGAGGAGCATGTTGATATATCAATTCTCTCTACACATACGTCTTGGGAACTAATCTCCCCTCCGCTAAGGCTGGAGAGTTGAGACTCTTCCGCAACTTGGCTTGTAACTCGGAGATCTTCTGTTCTTGCAGAGGAGGGTTCATCCAGCTTGAGTGGAGAAATAGGATCTGTCTCCTCCATACCTACACTCCCGTCTGGTACCACAATTTCTCCTCCAAAATCAGAGACATGGGGCTTCGCGGGTCCCATAACCATGGGCTCGAGTTTCTCTTTTTCCATGTGCTCACTCTCTGGGATCAACCTAGTGTGATTGAACACTCCCACTCCATATCCAGCGTCAGGGTTAAGCCGCCGAATCCATTGCATCAAAATCGCCAGCCATTTCCGGAGCGCACGTATTGTACTCTGCTGCTGCAGTACGTTCCGGAGGATAAGAATAGCAACTATTATTACTGCAGTATAGTTTCTAGTGGGTTCGGGGGTTGTACTTGGGCGCTGTAGGATGATCTGATACTGGGGATGGATTGGTCGCTCCCATTGGTTTCGGGGAGGGATTGGTTCCTCCAAGTTATGCAGGGTGCTGGGAGTATAGGCACTACTGATAGCTTTGGGTTCGAGCAGATGAGATGAAAATAGCACAATCTCAGTGGAGTGGTAGGTAATGAGCGCAGTGCTGGTGGTGCTTGGTTTGGTGGCTGCTAGTGATGGGTCTGTGTCGGGCTGCAGTGCTGGAGGTGCAGGGCATGTAGTCATTGGAAAGGGAGATTGTGAATCTGACTGGGTACATTTATCTCCCTCTGGGACGGCCATGAAATTGGGGAGGGTTTTGCGAATGGGTGGTGGGGGTTGTTAGGATGCACGTGTGAGTGGTGCTCGGAGGAGCTTCTACTTGCGCTGTTAACAAATGTGTAGGGAATTTTGAGGTAGTGGGGGAAGACTTAAAAAAGAGGAAAGAAAAAAGAAAAAAAGAAGAGAAAAACAGAAGAAACAATAGAAAAAAATTTTACAAGAGGAAAAGAAACTAATAGCACTACTATTAGATGGAAAGTCGATATAGCAAGCACAGATACACCAATTGAAGTGCAAGTTGATCCAATTTAAACCATCAATCGGTTTATTGGTATCTCCATCCATACCCTGTTACCTGGGCTCAGGCCGTCCCGCCCTCCACGATATATTTGGAACAAAGTTTCAGTCTGGTGGAGCCCTAGCTACATCCGCATAATAACGCATGCATTGAGCGGCTAGATCCCAAAGCACGGGGATGATTTTGGGCCTGTACCGGACTCTGGAATTGACATGGATTCTGGAAAACATTAGTGGGTTCCTCGTTACTGATATCATATCCATATGTATTTCGAGGATAGATGTAATCTCACATCGTTTTTATCGAGTTCAGTGTCAGTTTCTTGTCTGAAAAAGACTCATTACGGCCAATGCTAGTTGAATCGCCAATATCAATTTTTGAACGGCCAAAAACTGTGAAAATTGCACTCCCTGAGGAGGTTTGGTGTCCTTGTCCGCGTTAATCGGGAGTGAATTACTTGGCTGGCAGCTAACCGCCAGCGCTCGCTACATGCAGCCGTCTCTAGGTAGAACAACAAGCGAACCACATGGCCTCCATTCTCGGCCGAATATTCAGAATTCAATGGCGCCATAGTGATCGCCTCGATGCTCTACACGCGCCTACGTATAGGAGTTGAATTGTCTACCTAGTAGAGTTCGTTCATGCACTCCGTGTCTTGTGGAGTTGTCCCATGTCAAGCGACCCAAGACCTCGAGCTCGCGCGCGTTTGATGCGACAAGGGGTCGACCTCACAAGAAGAGATAAGCCCAATGCGGAAAAGACAAATCAACGATCGACAGCTCTGGGATATCATTACTATCGAGCTCCTGAGAAGTCCGTCCAGAAGCGAGGTGGTTTGTTTGAAAGGATCATGGACTGCTCTCGGTTTCGCGGCAGCAGATAAGTGGACGTTGATATAAGAATAGGCCTAAGACAATTGGAAGATTATTTAGTTTCTTCCTGGCGGTTAGGCCCAAGCGTGGTCGTACTACATTGGTTGGTAGGATGTCTGTGTGACGCGGTAAAGAGGACTAACTACACATTAGCATTTGCATGAAAAGAATGTTGATTGTGGTATAGGCAATACTTTATTGTCGCCTATAAATCGACTTACCAATAATATATAATAATAGGCTATTTTTGAAGTTTCCCAGAGTACTTTCAGGCCAATGGCGGAGAAGATGTTAAGCCAGATTGGAGAGGCCGGTCAGTGCCAATGCGTCATTGAACCCAGGTTCGATTTTGTATGGAAAACTTGCTGGGCCCAACTGGTCTCTAGATGCAGGGCTATGCTCTGCGCGCCGTATGCGGTATTCTGGCCGAGGAGAATCCATAAGGGGCGTGTTTTGGTAGTGTAGTCGACGAAGGGGCTATTTCCTCTAAAATTCTTCTACCCGCAACTGCTTGCCGCTATGTGTACGGGATGGCTGATAACTATGCGTGCTCATTGATACAAAAGACTTGAACTCGAGAGTAAGGGCATAGAACCCTTCTCAACAAGACCGCAGTGCCACACCGGGTGAAGCAAGGAGGAAGAAGCTAAATGGTAGTAGGAAAACAACTGGTCACTACTCTAAACTCTGCTGTACAGAGGGGCATTAGTGCGGCCAACAGTTGGACTTGTATGCTCTGCCATGGGCTAGTGTACCTTAGACCCTGCACAATTACAGTAGGTTGCATAATACTAGGCCTAGGCAATTGAAATTACCTTTTCGGGCAATCACTTGAAAACTTTAAACTCCGATTTCCTACGCAGGCTATCATTTCAAGGTTTGAATCTAGAATCGCACTGTATATTTGTGAAAGTTAGTCGAGCCTAGTTTTCTGAAGCCTGCTGTGGTGATAGCCAATCGGGTTACTGGCTGAGGATATGGTTGGTAGCTTCGTGGACTTACAATTGCTAGTAACTGCGACTGGATATGTGGCTTCGGTAGGCTGCATATGGGCATGAATTTAATATTTACCTTTTTAAGTTCTGGGTTACGTATTTTTTTGTCGACCAGCCAGATTGCATGCAGAGGTCTTCATAGACCTTTATATATATAATTTGGTGTAGCAGCAAGGCCACCTATATTCGATCTTAGGTGGCGTTAACAGCTCCCTACAATTGAATTTCTGGGTTGGGGGTCTGAAGCATGGCTGCTTTATTCCGACTGGCCTTGTCTACGGTGAGCTGGTTTTATGATACCGTAGGTATGATGGAGTAAGATGCTCGTTGAAGCTCGGATGCTAGGCGGCTGACGATTTTACGTATCTTGGTTTACCTTTGGAAAGATGTAATTTCCAAAATACGTGAAGACTATAGAATATAGTTCTCCACCTCTGTGAAAGTTCATTAATCAGGCCCTCTACATGACATAGCTAGCACCATGGTACCAACCATTTCATAGTTTAAACTGAGCCGAGACAACTCGAAAGCTAGTGTCGTGCAATTGCAACTATGGCCACTTTGTAGGTGTCCGTTCCTAGGTCACGTTTGCGAGTGGATAGGTTTGTTGACTTGATGTATACGTAGTCTGTAGGTCTAGCCATGGCCCATGGGCTTCGATGTCATGTTAGCTATTCCCCAGAGCCCCTCTCCGGCTCTAACCTTGCTACCAACTAAAGACGGTCTCCGTTGAACATGAGTAGGATAGCATCTGGCTTTCTGGAGACGAAACTCTCGAAACTCGGTTCTACAATGAGCAGTAAACCTCTCGTAGGGGATGGGTTATACGTATAAAGCTAGCTAGGTACTGTCAATTGGGTATTCTAATGTCACACGGCTGGTATATTCGAAAGTCTATTTCACTTGTGGCTTTCATTATTTCACTGAATTTCCTTGTCTTCTAATTTACTATGGTTTCACTATGGATAAAATACCATAGATTTCGCAATCACTTTCGTCGCTATAAATAGAAGGCCATGTAAAATAGTTTAATGGAATATGAGGAATTTCCCAAAAGAAATAAAGGAAAAAGAAAGAAATGAAAGAAATAATTATCTAAATAAGTAGCTTTCCGTGAAAAACAATATGGCCGGCTGCTGATGAGTCATTTTATTAATGAACACCCTGTTCCAGCAGGCCGTGGTACGCTACAACTGCCCAAACGTTTAAACACAGACCGCCCTATCCACCACGAGCCGTTGCCATGCTAACTCCGGTAGGCCAGTTCTTTCCGCCCTTCCATACCGCTTGCTGTCAGGAGTGGGCTTCAAAACCATTGCCAAAGATATAAGATCTAGGCGCTCATCTCGTAGACAACACCCCGAACCGCATGCTAAAGTAGCCGCCTGGCTATCGGTGGATCCTACTCACAACAAAACCAATTGCGTGGGGCGAACTCTACCTTAGTAACTGCCAGGTGTTAAAAACAATGATATGTTTTATTGATTGACAAGCTTGTGCTTGATCATAGGAGGGAGAAGCCTGTGATCATAAAGGGGGTTATATTACTGACTATATAGAGGGTAGTAGACGGATGGAATTATCTGCAAGATTTACGCTGGTTGTCTTCACTCGATGTGCTAACCAAGATTGTTGTGCAATCATGAATTATGGATCTGTTTTCTCACTGATATGGTCTCTACTGTTTTTTTTTTCTTTCTTTTTTTTTTCTTTTGGTTTAATTCATGTGGTCTCTACTGTTGGAGTCGTGTCTTGACGCGTTTATTCATGGGCGAACGTTATAACCTGACCTAGCTATATTAAGATACGAATTGATTCAAAGACCCTTATCAATTAATTCATGCCGTTTACAATTACGCTACAGGATGTACTATGAAGGAAGTTAAGGTGATGTGGTAAGGAGAACCACTCTTTCCACTAGCTAGGTTCTCGGGGCCATGCGCCACCGCCTTCGAGACAACAGCTTTGTGAAACAAAAAAAAAAAAAGAGAGAAAAAAGTGGGCAGAAGAAGCGCTCTCTGCAACACAACCACCAACCATCAACAATCAAAGTCAGCAACCAACACACCTAAGCACTCTCTCTGCATTTTTGACGGTCTCAAGCTCGTAGTCGTAATATAAGTTCCAAGTAGGGATTTCACTTTGTGCGCTGGAGAAGGACTTTGTCGGTCTCCTCTGCGTCTCACAGAGGAATTTCAGTAAAATCCCGTGGTAGGGGGAAGCCATCACACCAATCCAATCTTCCTGCCCATGTCCAAGGAGTATGAACTGACAAGGAGGTTTTACCCAACCGCACAGATCAGCAGAGTTCACAGAGCTTATTCACTGCTGTGGAGTGAAGTAGACTACATCGATCTCTACAGTTACAGCTACATGGCCTTGCATTTGCTGGGGTTTGCGTAGATAGCTAGCTGAGAATGAGATTGGAGGTCGAAGGGCCAGCTGTAGATTGCGGCCTTAGAGGAACAGCTGTAGATGGAGAAGAAAGAATATAAATGTCGTTGACTCCTTGGTGGACTTTGACTTTAGCGCTGAACTTGCATTCGTGAAGACCCGTGTTTGTCTTTGTCATCTGAAGTAAACGAGGTCCGGGCCTTCCCACTTCGCATGCTGCACACGTACACGATGAGGACGTCTGTTTGTATATTTCGTAGAGTAAGTGTGCATCGATTTTGTCCTGAGAATGTCGATTTACGAGTGATAGAAGGGTACGCTATAGCGAAGAAAGGTATTGAACATGGCAGAAGCAAAGGCCTGGTCTGACGGGCAGAGGCAGCTGGCCGGCCACCTTTGGTCTCTTCTCAGAGATGGAAGCAGTTCTTAATTGGTTTATTGTATGGAACTTGAAGTTATGAAAATATCTAATTATCTTTCATCCCCAGAACTCCCCCCAACTGCCACAAGTAACACTCTGAAACCAAGCAAAACAGAACAACGGTAAAAAACTACATTAATGTCAGTGCACGTAATTTTGAGATCTAATATGTACTGCCCTTAATTCTGCGAACCTACTCGCCCTCTGATTGGCCAAGAGCGGAACCTAACCCTGACCTCTGCGTGGCAACGGGCTCACCCAAAATGTCACCCCCAAATGCCACCCCCAAATGCCACGGAATGTCAAATTCAACTGCGGCTTTATACTGGGGGGTATTGCGCACTATTATCAAAATAAAAAAAGACCCCAAGCGGTACGTTTTGGGTGGTTATAGTATCTCTTCTTTCATACACAAAAAAAGAACAAAAAGTACTGTGCGGTTCCGGGACGAACTGGCACTACTCCCACCCCTGGGTCGAACCCTGGCCTTCTGTGATCGAAAGCAGGGCTAAACCTCGCGGTGTTCTTTGGCGAGGGTTAACCATTAGACCACTCGCCCATGTGTGTTGGTGGCTAAAAATGATATTTGTGCGCCAAGGATGGTTGGCTACTATACATGTACTATAGCTAGGATATCATGGCAACCATATATCACACAATACCCTCGCAACACCATAAATGTCAAGACCTAGGTTTCGTGGCCAAAAATGTGAAATAGAAATAGAAAAAAGAAGTTCAGCTTCGTGCTGTTCTTTCTCTAATTTATTTGCTATTCGCTCCACCTTTGGGGCCTGTACTCAAGGAGGATCGAAGGTTATATAGTTGCCACTGGCCGTAAAAACCGCCTAATGTACCCCCCCAAAACACCAGTCAAAATCACAGATTCTTCCGAATGACCTTGAAACATGTAAATAATTAAGTTTACAGCAGTTTTTTTTTTCTTTTTTTTTTTTTGATAGTGAAGTCGTGACATCTTTGGTGCATGCGCTGGTTGACATGAAATCTGTAACCATTCCCTTTGCCAGCGCCCTGAAGTCGCCTCCTGTTGTTTAATAGTGCAATATTAATCCATACTTACGATATTTGTACCGAATTCCTCCCGTTTCATTCAGTTTCTCATCTTCTCAATATTAATTTATCTCCTTTATGGCAATAGCTTACCCACCCGTTAGGTGTGTAATCCCTCAGTGACTAATTCCTGTTTGGCTTCTCCTACCTCTGGGTGATCCTATGATACTACAGTAACTCTCATCTTGGTGGCCATGGTTCTTAGAGTGTAAACTTGGTGGGAGTAGACAGGATTCATTCTGCTCACCAGGGGACTTGGGTCTGGACGATTTTTATTTTCAGAGGTGGGGTCACTCTAAGCCTACTTTATGTTGCTCGCCATTTTACTTTGACACCCCGCTCAGTTGGTGCCCTTTCCAGTGCAACCTAGATAGTGAAATCCTTTTTCACAAATTGAAGCACTCTCAACCTCTACATGTAAAGTCTCTTCTTTTCTACTAGTGCAAACAGAACGGAGAGACATCGCTCTAACTTTCCAAACCCGACAGTGGGGATAGGCCTAGGTGGTACGAGGTTAATTGGGCCTGCTCCCCCCCCCAAAAAACGACGAACTACAAGAATCATCCTTTGCAATTGCACAATACGAGAATCGACTGCAGGCACGCTCAGCTCACAAAGATTATTCAGCACAACCGAAATAATTCTAGACCCCAGTACGACGAGCGCAATGGGTGAGCTCCCGCTGAGCACTAGCTATAGTGTGTGCATGCTTCAGGGATCAGAGTGCGCAGGAGTGAAGAAGGAACCCTACATGACAGCTGATAGCGAGCGTACGTGTTAAATGAAGGCAAAAATGATGAACTAAACCTCCATTCTCTCAATACTTCGCTGGGAATAATTTAGGTAAGTGTACCTGCAAAAAACACCATCCAGCTCCGTACCACGTTACAGGTATGAGATCTACACTCACGGCGTAGAATCTAGCACTGCAATAAACCTGGTTTTCGCTCAGTATAGTGTCTACATACCGGCGTACATGCTGTCACAGAGATCGCAAAACGCCAAGACACGTTCAATATGAGAATAGTTTTTTCCTGCCCACCCAACGGAAAATCATCAGAAACGCCCCAAAAACAATTGAAATCATCTAGAAATACGCTCAGGAACCGAATCCACATTTTACAATCTCCTAAGACACCGCCAATCCTTCTCCCCATATTCTTGCGAATCTATCATTTCTCCCGCGGCCATGTTACCCTGTCGGCGGCGGTATCGCCGACCTCATCTCTACAGCGAATTTTGGTGGTTTGGGCTGGTGTTGGTAACAAAAAAATTTGCAGAAACAAACTGTGGTGGAGAGAAGTCAAAGTGGGTTTTGTAAAAAAACTTTGGTTGGGTTTGCGTGTTTCAGAGTAAACGGGTAGAGTGGATGGTGATTTCAGATCGACCACCAAATAAAACCTCGTTGCGGAAGACCCATCAAGAATAGCGATGTATAACTGTAGAGCGTACTGTGAAAAGCCGCCCCCTCGTGATCTTTCGTCAGATTCGTCTCTTTCTGCGCCCTCTCCCTCTCTCTTCCTGGTTCAGAATCCGTTATCTTTCTCATCTCCCACCCCTCCAATGTCATCGCTCTCAATTCGTTTACAGTGCCTCAGGGAGGCTAAGTAGCTGGTACTCATGCCCGTGGTTTAATCTGTACAGGACAAGTTTACTTTGGTGCTTCATGTTTGACCTGGAAGGGAGAAATCTTGGTAGTTTACAGTAAAATCGTGACGTAGCAGTTGCCTTGCACAGGCGCTTGCGCTTTTCATCAGAGTTGAGCAGAATTTTCAATAGTAAAAAAGAGTTCTCTGTCACTAAGAGCCTTTTCTTGTAGCTGGTAGGTAGGTTTTGCGTCGAGGCCTCGTTGCAACCCAATGTGCCAAAATTTCGTAGCAGCCCAAGTCCCAACGACCTGTAGAGGACCAACAGGCAAAACTAAAACGGAGACACAACGCTCAATTCTTGTAATTTACAGACATTTATTCGATATACAGAAAGCCGCAAATCTATAGAACATGATCCCGTAGACTTTCATCTTCTAGGCCCTGGTTCTGGTGAAATATTGTCGATTCGTCGTGATCGAGGCCTCGTTGCAGCCCAATGTCCCAAAACCTCGTAGCAGCCCGAGTCCCCACGCCTTGAAGAGGGGCCAACAGGCAAAATGAAAATGGAGACACGATACTCAGTTCTTGCAAGTTAGAGATTTTTTATTCGACCTGTGGGACGCCACGAGTCTGTATAATACAGTCCCGTAGACCTTCATCTTGTAGGCGCTGGTTCTGGTGAAATATGGTTGATTCGTCGTGATCGAGTCCTCGTTGCAGCCAAATGTCCCAAAACCTCGTAGCAACCCAAGTCTCCACGCCTGGAGGAGGGCCAACAGCCAAAATGAAAATGGAGACACGATACTCAGTTCTTGCAAGTTAGAGATTTTTTATTCGACCTGTGGGACGCCACGAGTCTGTATAATACAGTCCCGTAGACCTTCATCTTGTAGGCGCTGGTTCAAATGAAATATGGTCGATTCGTCGTGATCCTGGCCTCGTTGCAGCCCAATCTCCCAAGACTTCGTAGCAGCCCAAGTCTCCACGCATCGAAGAGGGCCAACAGGCAAAATGAAAATGGACACAACACTCAATTCTTGTAAGTTAGAGACTTTTAATAAACAATTAGGAAGCCACGAGTCTGTGGAACATATTCCTGCAGGGTCACATCTCTTAGGCCCTGATTCTGGGGATGGAACTAGCCTGGAGGCATTCTGCACGGAGGTCGTTTTGCTCGTCGTAGCCCACAAAACCCCGCCACAACACTCAATTCTTACAAGTTAGAGACTTTTAATCTCTGTACAGAAGGGCACAGGTCTGGATAACGCAATCATCTATATTCCCATCTTCTAGACCCTCGTGGTGGTGGGCTATCGTGATGGAACCCCCATGGGAGGGCAGTCTGCACGGAGGCCGTTTTGCTCGTCGTAGCCCAAACCCCCCCCCAATCTGCATCACATCCCAGACAAAAAGTGAAAAAAAAGGTGGAAATCCGTGGTAGCTACCACCATGTCACGAGATTCACTCGCCCATTTGCCCTGATGGGTGTCATATACATCCCCCTCCAAACCCCCAACTCCCACCACGTTAATCACCGCCCCAACGCTCAATTCACCTCAATTCGTGATTCTAAATGTATGAAAAGGAAGCTATAGATCTATAGAACGCGTTCCCACTTAGCTATCCTCTGTAGGCCCTTTAGTGATAGACTTAGAGCCCAAATATACGTGCACCGGGCCACTATTCGAGGGGGTTTGACAAGACAAGCCCTAATTCCCCCACCCCCCCCTACGGGCTGGCCAGCCTGGGGTCCCTTAAGTATGCAGTTTCCGCCACTTCTCCTCCCTTCCCTCCATCTCACCGAGACAGAGCGACTGTTACGATTAAAAAATTCTTTGAATTTGTACAAATCCAAACTTTTTTAATCAGTAACAATACCGCCCTCAAACTTTCGTACAGCAAACCCCCCCAGCGAAAGTTTACCTCGACTTCCCCCCCCACCGATCTCGTCTCCGCCTTCCGCCTCCTCCTCTTCGTCTCTTCTTTTCTTCCCCCCCCAACCAGCAGGAGCAACAGCAATGGCGTCGTAAGTTTTCATCATCGTTTTCTTTTAATTTTCGTTTTCATGTTTTCCCTTTTTTTTTATTTATCTTTTTTCTCCCCCAGCAAACAAGTGAAAAGAAAAAAGAATAAAGTTTCATTCTTTTTTTTTTTTTTTTTTCTTCACGTTTTCGTTGTTGCTGTAATTTCTTGTTCTGTAAGATTTTGCGTGCAAAAAATAAAAACATAAATTGTGCTGTGTTTTGTGTCATCCCAACGTAACTGTAGGGGTGATAAAAAAAAAACATAAGTGACAAATTGCAAACAAAAACTGCCCTCCAACCCTCCAATTCCAAGTGTAATAAAGTCTTTGTCTGTAAGAGCTTTATTACGAGACCCAAAAAATAACTGTAAAGATCTTGTTCTGCGGGATTGTATATTATATATACTGCGGGGCGTTAAAAACTCCCAGGATATAATATATATACACAAAAATCTCATCGAACAAGATTTGAAAGAAAAAACCCCCCAAACACAAAACCTGTAAACTCTTGACTACAAGATCGGAACAAATATTGTAACGTCTTGCTCTGCAAGACCACGCAAATATTGTATAGATCTACAAGATTCTCAACACCACACAAATATTCACCCAACCCACACATTCCACACTATTCACACTCTCAATATCAAAACCCCAATCCCCACTGCAATTGCTTAATATAAACTGCTACAAAACCAAACACACGCATTCTAACACCCGCTCTAGCCGCAACGCGCTCTCCTCCTCTCCTGTCCCTGCCGCTGCTGTGTCCGGCCTAAGTCCCAGCGGGATCGATCCGCGCATCCGCCGGCTCGCCCAACGGGCAGCAACAGCAGCAGCGGTGATAGGAGGAGCGAAAATCGCCGCCGCCGAGGAGCTCGCGAGGGCCTGCGCCGAGGAGCTCGCACTGGCCGCCGCCGAAGCCAGCGCAGCTGCCGAAGCCAGAGGGGTCGCCGCAAGGCTCGCCGCAAGGGCAGCAGTCGCCTCCGAAGGGACTGTTCTGAGGAAGAAGAAGCGTCGGGCGGAGTCTCCTCCAAGCCGGTCCCCGGGACCGCAGACTCGCGCCCCCGCACTTCGCCCTCGGATCGGGCCGGAGCGGACGCTGGAAGATCTCGAAGCAGCCGCCGATGCTGAGATCTCCAGCTTCTACGCCGTGCTTGCTGCCTGCGCTGCTACTGGCGCCCCCTTCCCCGTTCGCGCCGCTCGCGGGACGCCCTTCGTCCTTCCCGCCTCCGCCTCCGCCTCCGCCTCCGCCTCCGCTCCCGCTCCCGCTCCCGCTCCAGCACCACCGGCCCCCCAGACTCCCTCCCGCGTGCCGCCCAGCCAAGTGGGCTTCTTTACTCCTGTGGCCCCAAGCGTGCTGACTCCTCCTGTCCGGGCACCCCGCAGGACAGTCGAGGAGGAGCTCGCTGAGGCCGAGGAGGTAAGCCGCCTGCTTGGTCTGCTCCCCCCCACCATGTACGAGAGGGCAATGCACGGGCTTCCGGGCATGTTCCGGGCGGCGGGGCAATCCCAGGCTGTTCCTGGTTCAAGAGCGACGCTCTTGGACCAGCTGACAATCCAGCACGCCGCCCCGGTCCCGGTCGCCCAGCAGCTCTCGGCCATGATGGAGTGGAGCCCGGCCCCCGCCCCCGCACCAGCACCAGCACCAGCACCCGCACCCGCCCCAGCACCCGCCCCAGCACCCGCACCCGCCGCAGCACCCGCACCCGCCCCAGCACCCCAGCCTGCGCAAGAGGCTATGGCAATGGAGATCGACCGCGAAGGTCTCTCCGCCGAGGACGACGATTTCGAGGCCGAGTGGGCCCGACCATGCGACGAGAGTGAGGCCGAGTCTGACATCTCGAGCATCACTGAGGAAGAACTCCTGGAGGCACGTAGCTCCACGGATGTCCTCATGACTGCTCCGATGTCGGACCTGGTTGTCTCTCCGTCCGCTGCCGCTCTGCCTCGTGCGTCTTCCCCGGTGCCTCTTGCGCCTGGGTCCCTCAACTTTGCTGCGCCCCCCGCTCCCCCGATGTCTGCTGCCCCGGCTCCTCTGGCTCCCCCCGCTTTCCCTCCTGCTGCCCGTGCTCCCCTGGCCCCCATGGCTACTTTTGGTCGGGCTGTGTCTCTGGCTCCACGCGCGTCCCTCTTTGCGGACGTGGTGATCCCCCGCCAGGGACCAGCACCAATTGTGCCTGGGCGGTTTGTTTTCCCTGCTGCCGCTGCTCCCGGTCCGTTCCGCGCGCCCCCTGGGCTGTTCCCTGCTGCTGCCGCCAACGCCGCCCCGCTCTTCAACAGAGTGGACAATGCCTCGGCGTTGTTCTGCCGGCCTCCGCCAGCACCAGCAGCAGCAGCAACAGCACCAGCAGCGCCAGGAGCAGCAGCAGCAGCAGCACCAGCACCAGCAGCAGCCAGCACGCCCCCTGCCGCCGCCACCGCCGCCCTCGCCGCCGCCGCCGCCACCCTCACCGCCGCCCTCGCCGCCGCCGCCGCCACCGTCACCGCCACCGCCGCCGTCACGCCGCTCCCCGTTGCCGCCGCCCCCGAGTTGTCTGCCCCCCCCGCCGCGCCAAAGCCAGCCTTTGTGTGGAAAATGGCCGCCCCTGGACCAGCAATGGCTGTCCAGGAGCCCAAGCCTCTTCCGCCAAAGGCTGAGTCTGCCAACGAGCTCCCGGATGAGCTGGTCGGCCAGGAGTGTGTGCCCGTGGCTGTACAGCCAGCACCGCCTGCGCCGGTCAGCTCTGAAGTGCCAGAGCTGGCAGCAGCAGCAGCAGCAGAAGCAACAGCAGCAGCAGCAACACCAGAGCCCGCCGTGCCCGCCGTGCCCGCCGCCCCCGCAGCAGCAGCAGCAACAGCAACAGCAACAGCAACAACAACAACAGCAGCAACAGAGCCCGCCGCCGCCCAGGTCCCCGAAGAGGCCGCCGCCGCACCGCTCGCCCCCGCCACCCAGGAGCTTCCGCCGGTCGAGGTCAAGGAGGTGAAGGCTAAGGCCACAAAGGTGTCCAGCTCCGTGTGGGAGGACTACCTTGGTCTGCCGGACACTCCGCAGCCTCGCACCGCGCGCACCGACAAGCTGCCTGCCGTGGTCCCGCCCCCCGTCGTCCTTGCGCCCAGCTCGCCCCAGAAGCTGTCGCGCAAGGCAATCCGGCAAAACTGGGAGCTCGAGAGGAAGGAGGAGCAGCGCAAGGCTGCAGAGAAGAAGGCCTTCCTGGAGGAATATGCTCGGTCCGGCCCTCGCCACATCGTCTCCGACGATGTGTGCAATCGCCTCGAAGATCTGAAGGCCGCATGGCATAAGGATTCTGAGAGGAAGAAGAGGGCCGAGGCCGAGGCTAAGGAGAGGATGGCCGAGGCAGCTGCAACCCGGCGTGAAAACGCGGCCCGGCTCCGTGCCGCCAGGCTCAATCCGCCCGTTTTCGCGCTGGCACCAGCGCAGGTTCCCGTGTTGGCCTCCGTCAGCATCCTGGTGAGCGCTCCGTCTGAGGCTTGCCGGGTTGTCAAGGCCCGCATGAGGAACCCGCGCGCGATCGCGCAGACCCTGTCGGCGTTCGCGGTGGCAATGGTTGCTGGCCTGTGGGTGTTTGGTTTTGGTGAGCAGCTGGCTGCTCAGGTTCCGGACTCGGTGGCAGAGTCCCTGGAGGCCGTCATGGACACGCCAGTCTCCGCCATGCTGTACAGCATGTGCGAAAGGGTGTCTGTGTGCGGTCCCGGGGGCCTTGTTGCGTTTGGCCGTGCCAACCTTGCCTTCCCCATTGGGGCCGATACCTCTCCCTCCTCCAAAGGTTGCTCCTCCTCCGTCCCGGTTTTGCCTGCCTCCGTAGGGGAGGGTGCTGGAGATGACGTTCCCAGTGAAGAGATCAGTTCGGGGCCTAGCTCCGTCCTCTTCCAGGATGTCTTCGGCTCTCTCTCCTGCGGCTTGGCTGTCGAGGAGGTTCCCGCACTGGTGGTGCCCAAGTTGGTTCCTGAGGAAGTCTGCTGGCTGTACGAGGCCGGCATGACATATGGAACTGGCGAGGGCATTCCGGTGTGCGAGCTTCCAGCGGCGCTGGCCTGGGGTTACGCCGACTACCTTTTGGGGCTCTTGCTCCACGGGGTTAGTTTGGTTTAATCTCGGTGCTTTTATATTGGAGTAAGGGTGGGCTCCAATTAAAATATTAAAACTACCCACAGGGATTTAAGTAAGTTTTCTACCTTCCCTTTGTTTTTTCGCCGTTTTTGGCATACTGTGATTCCTGTTACTGACTTTTGTGTTGAGAAGAAGGAAAAAAAAAAAATTAAAAAAAAAGATAGGCGAGGGTGAGAAGGGCTGGTCCCTGGGGTACGGGTTAGAATAGGTTGAGGGTATGTATTCTCCTATTCCAAATTGACTCTACATCTTTTATCAGCTCGAATACTAACTCAATTGTCATTAAGGATGTCGATTCCACCAGCACCATCTGTGCCATGCTAGTTAGTTAGCCTTTGACTCCGCGTCCCGTGGTGGGGCGTGTATGAGAATAAGCATAACTAGCTAGCATATGGAGTAGTCCCTCGCGGGGCTGCGTCCAAGCTCAGATGGCTGTTGACCGGAATGGCCTCCCAAGAGACCTGGTTTGGTGGAGAGCGTTGGTTGGCAGAGGGTATGTTTTTTCTCCATCTATTTCCTATTAACTCAATGGCTTTCATCGATCAAAAAGACTAACTCATCTTCTGTTACTTAGGTCTGTGCCGATTCCACCAGCAGAGCTGTGACGTGCACGCTGCTATCCTTTTTTTCCGGGCCCCGTGGCGGGGGCCTGTATGAGAGAAGAAGCATAGCAGCTGGCACATTGGAGTGGTCCCTCGCGGGGCTACGTCCATGATCAGTTCTGGTTGGTCGAGGAATGGCCGAATTCCCCAGTCCACAGAGACGGGAACAGAGGGCGACCGATCGTGACGGCTGCTTAATTGCGGCCTGATCTGGTCGGGCCGTGCCCCTCACCCCGTTTGGGATCTGGATGAACACGTATCCGTACGTGTTATCCGCATCCCGAGTGGGGTGTTGAGTAGGGTCCGATTGCTCGAACTTGCACTGCAAGGGGAAGCACGTTGTATCAGTCTATATACTACGTCAGTGAAAACACATGTCTAAAGATCAGGGTGCCTTGGGTTGGAAAGTTGGGAATTGCGAGATTGTCATTGCTTGCACATTCCCGAGAACGAGTCCAACGATCAGCGATTACACCACCGAAGAAATCTTACCGGTTGTGTCATCACAAAGTACATCGAGTACATCGAACATCATCATCAGCCTCGATTTACGACTACGAAATTCGACTATCAATCACGGATTTCCATACACTATCAATTGTCAAACAACATCTACTTGACACACCATACGATTGCGAAAAATCTACCAATTTCGACTATCGAACACAATCATACATCATCTTCAATTGCAACTGTCAAATACCATCTACTTGACACCTCGTACATGCAACATACCGATCATACATCTATCTATCGATCACACATCAATCAGCCAAACAACTACAATTGCGATTCAACAATCGCCAGAAATCACCTGCTGCAACATACCTTCCAGCGATTTCGAAACCTGCATTCTCTTATCATTCCTTCGACGAGAATCAGAATCACCTTTTAGACAAAACCAATGCATCCAACAGCACACCGCTTTGGATCAGCCAGACAGCATCACGACTTCGATACCTGCTTTCAATTCATAATGAAGCATCGAGTCCAGCTGTCGCATCAAAAACAAACTGCCACACTTATCGATACATCCATCTCGATATACGAATAAACCATCAATCAATCATTACATTCATCTCGATACCTGCACTTACTATCATGCAACATCGGATCGAACAAAACTGCCACACTTATCGATACATCCATCTCGATATACGAATAAACCATCAATCAATCATTACATCCATCTCGATACCTGCACTTACTATCATGCAACATCGGATCGAACATCTACCATACATCATCATCCAGCCAACTCGGCTGATATTGATACATGAGCAATCATTCACAAACTACGAACCTTGCTCTACCGCCGCTTTACTACTAGATCATCTTTAGTACGTAACAAACCAACTATACAATTACACTCAAAAATCAAATAAGTCACCTGGAAAACCACTTCACACTGGCCAGATGGCAACCATCTCGACTCGACTCCTGCAATCCCAATCATGCAACGTCCTGTCATAGCATGTCTACTCGACATGAAACGTTCCACAGAGAACCATCAATACCTAGCATTTACTATACCAAGTATACGCTACGAAACCAAAAACCAAAAACCATCGAAAAGGCCACCTGGAATACTACTTCATACAAACCAGATGGCAACGACCTCGACTCGATTCCTGCAATACCAATCACGCAACGTCCTGTCACAACATCTCTACTCGACATGAAACGTTCCACAGAGAACCATCGATACCTAGCATCTACTATACCAAGTATACGCTACGAAACCAAAACCATCGAAAAGGCCACCTGGAATACCACTTCATACAAACCAGATGGCAACGACCTCGACTCGACCCCTACAATCCCAATCATGCAACGTCCTGTCACAACATGTCTTGAATATGAAACTTTCCACAGAGAAATCAACGACTCTGTCTCGATAACCGCACCCAAAACCATCATGGCTATCGAAAAACACCTACCATATCACGTCGATCTGACTGATACACAAACCATACGAACGTACTACCTTCAGTACGTACCAACTATACAATTACAATCAACAAAGCCACTTTTCAATCGAATATACCATCTGGAATATCACCTCATACACCAGATGACAACAATCTCGACACTTGCAATCACAATCACGCAACGTCTTATCACAACATGTCTACTCGACATGCAACGTTCCACAGAGAACCTCGATACTGCAATCAAAACAATCATGCACTATCGGAAAGCTTCAACAGCTACCAATCACGTCGATCAGACTACTACGAAAGCACAAAAACCCGCTTTACAGTCTACATCGACCAGCTCATCTCGCGGCAGTAGAACCCAGATGACGCCAACAATCAAGAAAGAGGAGGAATCAAAGATGCAACCCACCTACGTCAGAGACACCTAGGTGGTGGAACGAAAGAGGAGGAAGAGAAGTAACCCACCTACGTCAGAGTCACCTAGGTGGTGGAACGAAAGAGGAGGAATGGAAGAAACCCACCTACGTCAGAGTCACCTAGGTGGTGGAACGAAAGAGGAGGAAAAAAGGCTCTGAGGACAAGGTGTGTCTAAAGATGGTGACTAAAGGTCGGAGTGGAGGTTGTTTCTTGCTTTTTTCTGTTGTCAGGATTGTTGTTGTCAGGATTGTTGTCAGAATTCTTATGCACGTGGTTGATCAATGGGGCTCCTCGTAGACCCGTTTTGTGGTTTGAGGTTACTTCTGTCGTTTGGCATTGCTTCGGAATATTTCTTTGGTTACTTTTCTTTTGTTTGGTGGCAAGTTTATCGGTCTGTTGATATTGCTTTAACAACTAGTCTTGTGGTTCAATAATATTATAATATTGCACCGCCTACTTGATTGATTACTGGAAAACTTGATATAATATAATTTCTTAATCACTCTATTTACATCGGGCATATCGTATCCGAACTTGACTAGTGGCTATAACCAGGTCTATCAGAATGATAGAGCAGAGTTCGTCTGTGTCCGTGTCTTTGTAGCCAGAATCTTTCCTTGCTACATGTAGTCGTTATCGTTGATATAATTGATAACCACAGCACTAAACCGCCCTCTACATGTACGGTTGCCCCTGTGTTTCCAATGCCCTCGAGGACTTAAAATACCCCCGACGGCAAAAAAATAAACCACGAAAAAAAGAATTGACGTGTTTCGGAATGAATTATTACCAAAAGTGCGAATAGCGTTTCCAGGTTATGCACATCGTGAACATTTGTTATAATGAGAATTAAAGAGAGAACTCGATCGACGGGTTTTGAACTGTATTTTGTGAGTACACTTCTCGCTGGGTATATGTGATCAATTTGGTACTGTCGTTGAACCTCTCATACGGGTTTATTCAATAATGTCCGAAAGAAATCGACAATCTCAAATGTGGCCTTTTCTCTCTCTCATAGTTACAGTTCGTCGCATTGCCATCGGGGGTATTTTCAACTCTCGAGGGTAGTCGTCCAAACCCGAGCACAACCATGGAGGGCAGTTTCATTCATTTATTGTATGAAACCCGAAGGCTATGGTAATCCACGCTCCTCTCTCGCCTCGCCTCATCTTTTTTTCTAAATACGTTTAAATAACAATAAGAATTAAGAAATAAGAAATACACAATCTAAACCATCCCTTCGATCTACGTACCTTAGCGTCACTACTTCCCGTCTCCAGATCTCATAGCAGAGCATCTTGCAGAACATAAATTCCTCCCCAACCCACCTCAACCCACCCAGTCTCAGCTCTCTTACACAATTACCTACTGAGCGAGTCGCCTAACAACTACGACTTGAGATCCTTTACCATGCAAAAACCGGCTGCGAAACCTGCAGCCAAGTAATATTCGTATATGAGGTCTCGATCTCGCTCATCGGGGACTCGCTGAGTAGGGAAACGGAGTATGTCCTCTTGAGCTTCGTCTCCTTCTCCCTCCTCCCAATATCATCACTTCGCTCCAAATATCTAACGTTATGAGGTCCGATTTCTTTTCCACCAGAACATAACCTTCAACGTTGTCCCACCAAACTCCCCTTACGAGACATGGGAATACAGACGAATCACCTCTGGCTCGCGCTCTAAGATCAAAGACTTCAATTATATCGGTCATTGTAGTACCGGATGACCATCCTATGGTAGTCGAAAGCGGGAAGGAAGTTATTCAGTTGAAAAATAATCATAGGGAACAGTTTATGCGGAATTGGTGGGCATTGCGTTCCCATAGAGAAGATGTATAATACGAATTGTGGAAGATAAAGAGAACCAGAGATAAAAACGGTGAGACTTGAAGTGGAGGGCATCGAGTGGGAAATAGGGGTATGAAGGTTGGAATCAGAATTCACCGCGGGTACTAAATAGAGGCTGGGGGAAGTAAACTTGGCCCGAGAAGAGAAGATGTGAGTTGAGATGGTTATTTGTTTTGTTTTCTACTTTTTGAGGTGACAGTTGGAGGGGTGCTCCGAGGGTGGGGTTTGTCATAGTTAGAGGCGGGGGAGATGTCATAGCCCATGGGCTCCATATATGGATCAATCCTTGAGGGTTGTCGGGATGCCTATACTGCAGTCCATAGTAGTTTCTCTAAGCTCTTATGCTCGGGTCTATATTTCCAGCTTCTTCTATCGAGGGACATTTGGTTACAATTCCTGCAGTGCCAAAAACGGTGTGCACTGGATTCGATACAATTTCCCGCTAATGTGCTAGTGATGCGGTAATGATTCGGTATTATACACTATCTTTTATACAATTCCGGTTTGATTCCCTATTCTTTACTCAACAAGATTCGCAGTCCTATAGCACTGATTCTACCCTTTTCTCGAGCAGGTCGCAGAAATAAAACACCTTTCCCAGAGCCTCCGGACACGACCCCAGGTACCTGCACACACATAAACCCTCGCTAATATCAATTATATCCATAATTCTCTCTTTATTTACCTCGAAATGGTCCACCTAAATATTTCCTGTCGCGGCGATCATTGATCTTCCATACCATCATTAGCTTGGCGGCGTCGGCTAGGTGCATTGCAACGTCGACCGCAGCCCGATTCCGCACCAAATGTCGCCACGCCAAGAAGGCGGGGATGGACTGCGATGTTGAAATTAGATTATACATGACAACCATCGACTAGCTCCTTTTCGAATTTCGCAATAGTTTAAAGCGACACCCGTATGAGAACGGAAAGAAAAACTTATATTCAAAATACAAGACAATTTTGAATATAAGTTTTTGGTGAATGCAAAGCGATCGGTTTGCCTAAGGTGGTTGAATCCTCCTTCTTGGTACCGGTGCGTAGAGCCACTGGTCAAAGGGAATAAAGCTTTTGAGCAACGTAAATGTCCAACTCTATTCAAGTTTGCCGCAATCCACATTTGCCAAATGGAAAATATTCTGCACGTAGAAACTTTGTACAGTAGCTTCTCCGGGGTGTTTTTAATCTGTATTTGTTCTGTTGCGCAGCCTAAACCCGGTGCTTCTTCGTTCCACTTGGTGCTTAAAAGGCATTGGAGTTTCTATCATTCTGCCGTATTTTCGCTTAATTAACCTGGAATTGATCATTTTCGAGTAAGGGAATCGTCCATATATACTCTTCTTTCTTGGGCTCTGAGTAAGGGTCGCAATGGGCCATCAATTGAGGCGGGCGACGGCCGGACTTCGTCCCGAGCTAAAAGTGTGAGCCCGGTCATGATCAGGCTCTCATGCCTTCAGGTACGTACTTGTTAGAAATAGGGATAAAGGACTCATGTAAAAAGATTACAAAACCACAAAGAGTAATTGATCTTACAGTGCCTGGATTGATTCAGGGATATTGATGACCTCGCATCCCTTTTCTAGTTGTGAAAAGAGACAAACCACCGGTTCTCGGCTACGAAGCCCTGGCACGGCATATTATGTGACCCGGGCATGAATCGGCCTATTTTTCCTGGGGTGGAAAACAGAATCCTAACAGTGGGCGGGAGAGGCCGAGCCTATTTCCTAGCCCGGATCGGCCCATTGCACTCTTTGACTTTGTCATGAATATATATGTTTCCGACCGAATGATGTGGTGAAACTTTTATAGATGGTGCTTCTTTTTCTTTTCTGAGGTAACTTTTGCCAACCACCGAGAGTTTAGGCATGCATGAGACAGAGTCACCGGTTCATCTACTGTTTTATCGTATCAGCGGTTGCGCGCACGTATACTTGGACTGGACAGAGGCTTCCGGGGCGGTAATACCAATATTGTCGCTGTTACTTTGAGCGGGATTCCATTCCTTGACGTTGGGCGAGGTCGAGAGTTCGTTGTAGAAACCGGTACCTCCCCATGTAAAAATATAGGGGAAAGACACGGCTGGAGGGGTAGTGGCAACGTGGGACGATGACATTACAGCGCCATCTATTCTCTTCCGATAGCCAGCCATTTAAGTCAGATCCCTCCTATAATTCATCCAGGAACCGGAAGCCTCACCAGGTTAAGCTACGAGATGAAATGAAAGAAGAAGTAAGGTTGGTCTATCTCATCATAAGCCATACCCTTCTGTTTTTTTTTCTCTCTCATCTTGTCCCGTTCATACGTCTCATCTTTTCCTCTCCCTTCTTCCCCTCAGCCTCATTAGCTCGCTTTTTCCTTTACCTCTCCCCTCACAATCCTCACATTCACCCCACCATCATTATGATACTCATCTCCGCTGCTCACCCCACCCCCATCCCACCCCCACCCCACCATCTTCACCGCCTCAAGCAACTATTTTATCTACTGTGGCCATTCCTCTACTCGTCTAGACCCTGCCTTCCCCCTTCTCTGTCGTACGTAACGCTAATCTACTAGCCATAACAGCAGCATTGATTACGGCCATTGGAGAGATTGAACAGGAAGCCGTGATCAGTTTTCTCCCCCGATTCGAGAATTGAGAGCTAGAGTGAAATCTATACATCAATTGGTAAGTTAATCAGAGTCTCAACACTTCCATCGTTGGTGATGAAGTAAACTTTTCAGGGCGAGTACGGTAACGTGAAATCTACATAGCACCTATCTAACTTGAAAAGGTGTACATGAGGAAAGAGATGGTCCGAAATCCAAAATCAAAATGAGAAAAGCGTATGGTCGAGTACACCCCTCGCTGTCTTAGCGAACAGGGGAAAATCTGCCTGTTATCCACTCCCAGCCGGGGATAATATAAAAAGGCTTAATGTTGCTAAAACCTCCCAGATTTCACGCTGGGGTATCAAATAGACAAATCCACGATTACAACAATTAGCTTACATCGCGGCTCTCATGTTACTCGGATACGTTCCTTCTGGCTCAATTCAGTCACTCGGATCGAAGGGGCCATTTAAACTGACATTTCTCATATCATTCTCTGTGCCTTCAAGAGTTAGTATGCTCTCCTATAACTGAGCTGCGGTAGTAAACAGTAAGCTGGAAGCCCCCGACCCTTTTTATATTAGGGATATAGTCACTTCCTTCCCTGACACAGAGCCCCATAGATAGAATGTTAGCACAGTGCATTTACAAATCTTGGGGGGAAGGCGCTTCACCATATGCTACATTGGTTGAAGATTTTCGGAACAAGATTGAGGTTCTTTTGAACTTCCAATCCTCAATTCAGGCGTGGGCAGTTTCTAATGGAGCGCTATCAGCACTGGGAAAAAAGACTTCCCGGCGGAGAAGAATAAAGAACCCTATTTATATCACGTTCGAAAATTCCCCCTCTCCACCCCAACACCCTGATCATGTATTCCTTACAGCTCGCCACGAGGACAACCACCGAGCAGCTCTAACCTACAGAGAAGAGGCCTATCATTTATAGTAATTAAAACTACAGTACAATCTCGTTATAAGGATATTTTCTATAAGGATATTCGGCCTATAAGGATATATGTATGATTCAACTTTGGTCCCGACAGGGATTGTGTGGGTGAGCCGGGCACTTCTTAAAAGGATAAATCGCCTATAAGGATATTTTTGGATGCAAGATTGACACATTTCCATATCCTTATAGCGAGATTGTACTGTAGATGGGATTCGTTCTTTTCAAAGATAAACAGGTACCCCTTTGGCATTTTGCGCCCCATGACGCAAATAGGTATATACTGACGTGACGAAATAGATTTTCCAAACGATAAAACAATCCACTCCTAGAGAAAAGAGAAAATACCGGGGCCCGCATAAGCCCCAGTACAAATTATAGGAATTACAACCTAGCCTCTTATTAACCGACAGCCGCTACCGTCGAGTCTCCGAGATAACCTACTATATAGGAAAATCATCTTATGGGTACATAGACTAAATATAAGTAGAAAGTCTCTGCAGCCTCATGCAACATCGAAAAGGCGATTCCGGTTCTCTCTTTCTCCGAATTTTTATACAGTCACAGCCTGGCACAAAAGCGGTTTCGTTAACAGGAGAAAGGCCAAAGAAATAAGCAGCTCTCCGGGGTTTACCATGAAAACACCGTCCTTTTAATCCTATGTAAAGTGCAATTATAAGATGTTTACCTGGTAAATATGGGCATATCCCGGATCCGAGTACAAAATAATGGCATGTGACTTGATACCATGTCTAGGAAAGAAAACGTATGGAGGAACTATCATTAATTCATAGTTATCTACTCATTTCCAAGTTGAATAACTGAGTCCCAAGTTAATAAAGTGTTTTCCTTATTCTTTATCAGCTACTCCATAAAGAACGACGAAGATAAAGGTATGCGTGATTAATTAAGTGAATCCGTTCCTGTCTCCTAATCATAAGCGCAGAACTATATGATCCGGGGAAGCTAGGAAAAGCTGTGTAAAAGAAGCACTTAAACAGCACGGCGGGTATTATCCCCTGCCCAGACCGCAGGAGAAAACGCACCTTTCCTGCTTCCAATTCAGAACCGGACATACATCCAACTTCTCGACTTTAAAGCCCGAATTCTACATGTTGTAGTGGTAGGTAAGTTTGAGATACCCGATTTGAAAAAGCTTTCTACATTGGTACAGGTCCACCTCTATCATTGTATCTATGTGGCACGTTCCGGTGTTTCCCCAAGGTCTCCCCTCAAGGTAAGCAATCCGAATCAAATGTAGAGTTTTCCGTAACATACAGGGCCTTTAGTGAAAGCTTTTATAACGATTCCTCTCTCTAGGTATACAAGGCCTCTAAAATCATAGGTTATGAAACCATTGCCGGTTTACGGCATATGATGATCATGGCCGACATTTTAACTTGCCATGAATGAAGCATTGGTCAGTGACTGTGGTGCCTTGCTTGGTATGAGCGACGATACGTGGCTACATTGAGAACTCTGTTCCATTCATCGGCCCCAAATCCCAGAGAGAAACAACTTTATTCCTCTACTTCTCAGCTTGTTCTATGATAAGCAACCCCGAAATCAAGAATTGGCATAGACCCCCGCGCTGAGTCCGATCCCGACACTACTCGCGACTAAAACGAATCCCAGCAGTTATTACCGGTCTTTTGGGCTATGATGACTGGTCTGGAACAGTAAATACAAGTACGACTCCTACCCCCGTGGCCCTAGACGCACATACCAGCATAAAACCTTTGACATCCGCATTAATTTCTACCATGAGATGAGCTAGCTAATAGTCCCATTGCGAGATAACAGGCTCAAGCCCACGAGACTGAACCTCCCACGAGACTAAACCTTCCGCGAAGATGAAGTCATCTTTCACACAGGACCGGACTCCCATGAGGCGATACAGGCAAAATACCCCAATGAGATGCGATGAGACGTAAAACCTGTGCTCTGGACTCGTCTCGAACATACTAATCACCGTACATATATAGCTACCAAACCATCAATACCCGCGGCCGCTCCTCTCCAAACATCCTTCAAACTACGAATATCTATTTATCAGGGTCTAAGCATTGTAAATATACTCAATGATCCTTCCATAAGCTTGGACTTCCCATGAGACAAGATATTAAAAGCACCTCTATGAGATGTGATGAGACAAGCCGATGCTCTGGGCTCGACACTAATGATCGTACATATATAGTTATCCAACGGCATCAATATCCCGCTCCTCTCCAAAAATCTTTCAATCTACGAATGTTTATTTGTCGGGGGCCTCGGTCGGGCTGTCCTGACCAATAATTGGTAGCTTACTAAAGTGTAATTCTACAAAAGAAATAGCACAATTGAGAGCGCTCTCCCCATAATAAATACTCAAATCCAACTTGTGAAGACCCTTAGATACCAACAACTGACACTTCTAGTCGATGTTACTCTAAGATTAGAGGGGGATGCTTCGGAAGTACCTCCTTCCACTTATACAAAACTGAGATTTTGACCTATCAAGTCCTTCGTTTTAACTTTGACTTTCAATACTTCGTCTTTTGACTTCTGGGACTCCCCAGGAGGTTGGAAACCCGCTGAATTAATTTGAAGTGTTCACTCAATACCTTAATTACTCTATTTTCATTTTCCAGGTTTTTGTATGTGGGTTTGGCCGCTGAAAATCTCCTCTTCATAAAAAACACGCTCATGTACGATGAAGCCAACATGTGCGGAGAATAAATCGCAGGCTTCTAGTGGTAAGAAATTCGGTCTTTTCTTGCAGTGAGATCGATGCTAACTATATCGTAGGGCCCGTGAGGGATTGCTAGATGTAGAGCCGGTAAATCCTCGAGGCCTCTCTATCAATTCCCCAAGACTTCGTGTTTTCTCAAGATCTTCGCCCATCCCCTCCTACGCCTAGAAAAGATACAAACTTACGGCTTATAGGGATACTAAAACCGGTTCTGATCGTTGCAATGATTATGCGAACGATGTTAATAACGAGTTGAAAATAAAATCCTGTGAGAAATAAACTTCATCATTGAACCGCATACAGCATACCATGCGGAGACTTGGTGGCACAAACTATGATATCAATGAGTCGCTGGTTGGAAATTGAGCCCTCAAAATACCTCAGAACTAGACATCATCTGATGCCATTTTATTCAACCTCAGCTTCGTTCGAGATTTTCTCAACATTTTACCCCTCTTCGGTGGTTTGAGCTTTCAAAAAGGACCACTCTCAAGTGGGGGCGAAGATGGCCCTATTCGTTACCCGACGTTGGTATGGTGATCTGAACATTCTGCGTTGAAAAGCTAATGGTAAGACTGCGGGGAGGTGTATCCTTCTAGAGAGGTGTATCCTGGAGAGAGATTGTACCATTAGCAACACAATTAATATCAAGGTCCTCGACCCACTGTCAGCAATGAAGTTACCAAATGAATGGATTCAAGATTGGCCCCGTTGGCTGTTGTAAATAGAGCATCTAAATATAAAAAATGCATCCCGATCCATTCTGAAGGCCATCGCCGATCAAATTCGTGAAACGAAACAATGTCCGTTCTGTTTGATGAAACAAAAATACACTTTCCTACCGGTTGCCGCGTGCAAACGTTCCAGGCCACAACCAAGTGCTGAACTCTACCGTCTTCTGCCCCTTCGCCATCAAAAAATAACACTTCAGTAAACAATTCCACTTCGCAAAATGCCTTATTACCCCGCGGCTAGACTCCAACAGCACCGGGGCCAGAGCATTTACACCTAACCCTCGCAGGCTGCATGCAGATCAAGTGTGATGTGGCAAGCTGGGTGTCTTGCGCTAGCGAACCGTGGCTAAAAGACCGCTGCTGCGAGTGGAGTGAGAGTTTCTCCCGGGACCACAACCACAACCACCACGACCACCACGATAGATAACCGTTCTTCCCCCCGCCTACCTTCTTTCCTTTCAATCGTTTCAATCCCTGTTGCTGAAGAAGCTTAAATGGGACAGTGATAAAACAATTCTTATCAAAAAAAGGTACAAATCCAATTCCTCCACTAGATATAAAGATTTGCTAACTCCCTCACTCCAGAAGCTCACCAGACACGCCACCCAGCCCAGCTCCCCCAATGGCCACCCAGGAAACCTTCTCCAAGCTCGAAGAAGAGCAGATGGGCCCCCAATACGACCTGGACGCCCAAGGGCGCCTCGTCAACTACTGCCTGCAGCTCGTCGCCTCCGACCGCGAGGCCGCCGACGCGGCCAAAGCCCCCGACGGAGGGCCCTCCGACCAGCAGCTCCCGCCCCTCAACCCGCTGCCCACCTCCATGTCGGCGGCCGCCAGCGCAATGGCCTCCATCCACCAGGACATCACAAACTACCTCTCGGCCACGCCGGCGTCCACCGTCAAGTACGGCGACGTGCAGGTGCACCTGGGGTGGAAGATCACGAAGGCGGCGGACCTGGGCGCGTCGATGGGCGAGATCAAGAAGTTTGTCAAGTGGAAGGTGGATGCGCACAATAAGCAGGTGGCAAGGGACTCGGGCGTGGTGGATGTGGCGCTGTCGTCGGAGGGGGAGAGCAGCGGGGAGGGGAGGAGGCGGTTTGAGGGCGCGGCGATCAGTAAGAGGAAGAAGAATGTGGGGGAGAATATCTCGATGGGCTTGGAGGGGGGGTATGCGATGGGGGTGGAGAATAGGAAGTGGGCGTTTTGGGGCCTGGGGGCGGCGGTGGTGGCGTACTTCTTCGCGGGGACGGTTGTTGAGAGCGTCGGCGATGCTATCGACGATGTGGTTGATTATGTTGAAGACATTGATGCCGACACTTTCCTTCACCCTCTTCGCACAATTGTTGGGACAGTAGTCAGCTTCTTCGGCGCCATTATCCAAGCAGTCATCGCAGGCCCGGAAGCCATCATCTCAACATCAATTGCGGTCGCCGCACTCCTCACCAGCATCGACCTCCAACAATTCCTCACCGCCCTCCTCTTCCCCATGACCCGCATCGGGCCCGTCTCCCATCCACTCTACTACGTCCTCCTCTCCGCCTATGCCCTCCTCTTCACCTGGCACCTGCGCGAGGAGGACCTCATGATCCACGAACACCTCGCCGACAGCCCTCTGTTCTCGCAACTCTTCGCGCCAGGCTTCGTGGCCTACATGTGTGCCCACCTCCTCACCTCCTCCCTCAGCCCCATTTTAGGCGTCGATGCAATGTTGCTACACAGCGGCGAGTTCCTACGTGTTTTCGGCGAAGACGGGTTCCGCGCGAAGTTGGGACTGGCGGGGGGTCAGAGCCCGTGTGGGCTCGCGGAGACTTGCCCGATGCACTACTTTGGCGGTGAAGGCGCGGAGGTGGAGTTGGCTATGAAGGATGATGTGGGTACTGCTGTTACTCTAGTTACGAGGGCGATGCTCGTGGGTGTGTTGGTGTGGGGCGGGCTGGATCGGTGGTGGGCGAGGCGCGAGATTCGGGGCGCGAGGGTTTAACTTGACGGCTTTGTGATGTACAATGGTAGTTGTGTTGTGCGGCTTTGGTTCAGAATGAGACGGGTTTTATGCGGCGTAAAAGGGATCAATTTGCTTAAGAAAGGGTTATGGGTGGTTCTTTGGTATGGTCGGGCGCGGGGTTATGGATGCGGTGGGGGTGTTTTACTGTAGCCATTTGAAGATGGCATTCAACTGCGCAAAATCCAGAATATTTCTTTGGGTAAAATTCTCTCCCGGAAGTTCCAATCAAGTGAGTTCCTGCTGTTTTTTTTTTTTGATGTTAGTTACTCTGTATGAACGCGGCCAGCACACGGCACACATGACCACAACCCCCAAACGCTATCCCGGGGTACGTCTCGGAGATGATTTTTTTTGTTCTTCCCATATGATCTTCATACCGCCCCAATAATCCGTGCTGTAGTTTTGAAAAAGCCTTGCCTTCTACAGTTCTAGTCATAATGAATCACTCGGTTGCCAAGACTACACCCTTCGGCGCTATCAGCCGGTGGGGACTTAACTATTAGCCTAATATGTGGCAATAACGAAACAAGTTTAAACCTGAAGTGATGGCCCGGTGCCTGGGTGTTTCTACATAGGCAGAAATACACCACGATATAAATACTAATCGTGCCAGTGCTGCCTCATGTCCAGGCTTGGTGGGTATACCAGTTCGTAGGTCGGTGTAGCTAGTTGGAACAGAACAGTCTTTCCGCGTGTTCTATATGTCAGCAGCCCGCTCGGACTCTGAACTCCAAGAAAGAAGAGTAGAGTAGTTATGATTGTGAACCCATTTTCCTGAGCAGAGGGACATACCCGTATTTATACCGGGAATACTCCAGCTGGTGGTACATGTTCAGGGATAGAATTACATGTAAATATATATTGGACACGCCCACGTTGATGTAATAATGCCGTGTTTGACAATACCACTTCTACGGCCACGTTCACACTCCCGAGGCTATTGCCCTGACGCAGCAGCATACGCAGCATACGCCATTGGCTCCATGGGGGCCGTGAATTAATAGCTACCCATCCAGGTACACGGTACCCCAGCTCGGGGTTCATCGATTTGCAGCAACTATAGTATACTACGGCTGCGCTCCTCCAGACTACGTCGAGGAGGTTTCTCGTGACAATCGAGCAGTATTCTATCGGATTTATCACGTTGGTGGAACCTTGGGGGCTTGTTCTGGACTAGATTGGGTTTATATCTCTGAACAGGGTTGGTGGAATGATTCATTGGGTTTGGGAAGAAAGTAAGTTAATTAGCTAACTAGCTGTAGGAAATAAATTTGGAAAAACGAGTGATAAACCATGAACCGATTCATGACGTGACACAAATCTTCGTAAAAAAAAAAAAACTCTCACTGTTCTCGAGTTTCCCGACCCTCCTCTCCCTTTAAAACCTGGATTTACAGGTAATAAGAATTTAACCATTAATGTTGATCGCCCGACGGCGAACTACATGTAGAACTTCCCATTATTTAATCATTTCATTATAATTATTGTGTCCATAATTTTATGACTAGATAATTTGGATATTTTTAAGTAATTCTCGAGACCAAAGGAACCATTCGAGCTCATGGTATGTCTTTAAAGAACGGTAGTCATATTTATCGCTTGATTAAGACAAACCCATGACGCCAGGCCATTACCTTTCTATTTCATTTGGCGCAGGAACCCTTTATGAACACGAATAAAACGCCTCTTGTATTTCTAGATTTATGATCTAGCTACTTACACTTTTTCATCTATATTTCTTTACTTTCATGTTTTGAAACCTTCCAATCACCCCCCCCCCCCCCTACTAGCGATGCCAATAAGTTTTTAAATCATGTGGCCATCATATTGGTATGAAACATCAGAAGATGGTGAACATTGTCAAAATGACGGGCCCCACGATCTATAAGATTCTCAGCATCGCTAGTAATTAATCCGACCCAAACCCAACCCAAGTTAGTAGGCGAAGAGATTACAAAAATTATTCCAAAGACCCGAATATGAATAGACGCCGACAAATGAAAAAAACGAAAAAAAAACGAGAAGGCCGTTAATATAGACATTATTAAATACACTTCAAAAATCCAGGTGAGGCGCTCCCCGGTTCAAAAGTTTGAATCCAAAGAAGATATGGTTCGAAATTATACTGTTAACCGCATCGATTAGAAACACAATTAAGTCTATATCATGATAGAGGTAGGAGAGAGAGGGAAGACTAACAGTGCAAGTGATATAGAAACACATATAGCGAGCATGCTATAGTTCCAGTAGATGCCCTTCTCGTAATCCTATCCATTCAAATTTATTAATAAGTATTTATGCATATGGATATGAGTTATATTACATACCCCATAGGCAAACGAAAGCAATCCCCTGATTCCCCAACTACCAGGAACCTGGATGAATACACCAGCCACAATGGCATTAAAGGCAAATTCGTCGGTGACCCTTGCATACATGTTTGAGAAAACACCTAGGGTGAATGAAGCTGCGAAGGCATTGAATTCCGGGGGAGCGTGCCAAACTAGATCGAGGGGTTAATAATACTGTACTTCAATAGAAACTTTATAAAGAGGGCATACGGTATTTTGAAGCGAACCCAGCTCCGTAACCTAGACTACCTATAACGATCATGGAAGGCCATTGACGCCATGGTGTCTATGAAATCATAGGTTAGTATCACATCCTGTCGAAAATAAAGAGATAAACACCGCAGTACCTTGAGGTAAATATTATATGCACAAATATAAACAGGCACACAAAGAAGCAACCAAAACTTATTGACAACAATTCCCTGGCTTGTGTTACAAGTGGACAACAGATCCACCGGCAGTCTCTGAAACCCATCTCCACTCATGTTCCCCGGGGCATTGTATAGAATGGGCGCAAGCGTGAACCCTAGCACCATGCAGCACAAGTATACAACCGTATACACTAGCCGAATACATCCCGCAATTGTATTCTTAGTCATTATCTCAACGACAGAGATAGAAACCGTGTATCCCGGAAGAAGCGTGACTGGGGCAGAGAGAATCAAAGTCGAGTAGCAGAAATGCTTCGAAAGGATAGTAGCCACCAGCGAGACCAAAAAGCATGCAATGCATTCATATGTCCACTATTCCCAACCCATTAACTCCAAATAAAAGTGCCATGTGAGAAGAGCCAATACATACCCATAGCCTCTCCCATCTATTCGCAACCAAAAGTAACGCCGCCGGAATCAATGCCAGCGCCCCTGACATCGCAGCGTCTTTCCAATCCCCACCAAAAAACATGATTGCACTCGTCGCTGCCGCCGGCACATATGACGCCGCAACTGCGTATTGGTTCCATGCACTTTCCAAACTCTCTATCCTCTCCAACTCGGCATAGATATTTGGCATAGTCAATCCCGCAGGATCCCTGACGATTCTCTTTACCAAATCGAAAACGTAAGGGAGTTTTGTAAAGTTCATTGACCCCCTCTTGATGATGGGGTACATTGCTGGCGGACCTCTTTTGTTTTTCGGTGGGAAGGAAATCACAGTTTGACTGTTCATGGTGTGCACATTTGTCGGGACGTCAAAAACTTGACCGAGGGCTTCAATGACAGGCTGGACACGATGAGAAGGGCCGCCGTGGGAGATAAAGGCGGTTCCCACATCGACAATCAGGTCATGCAACTGTTGTTGGAGGTCTTCTACGGCGTTGCTTTCTTTGTACAAGGCCGTTGTCGACGAGAATCTTGAAGAGGGAACTTTCAAAGAATCTGATAACAAAAATCAGCTTTTACTGTGTCTTCATGTGGGGAGAATGAGCAAAATACCATGTTGAACCCCTGTGACCAGAGTGAGGCCGTCATCGCTTTTTTTTTCGGTGTTATTTTCGGTGTTGTTAGATACTGGGCGGATATCTGGAAGTTGGCTTTCGAGGTCACCATCTAGAGACATAATATTAGTGAAAATTAAATCCCACAAGCAATTTTTCGGGGGGTGAGAGGTAAACGGGCTTGAAACAGGCCACGTCGTTGTACTTACTGCGTGCGCCTGTCACCGACATTTTTTTTTAAAAAAAAAATACAATTGCCTTTCTGACCAATCTGAGCTTGTTAAACTAATAAAAGATATCAAATGAAATGTGTAGTTAACGATGAGGATATGCAGGATATTTCGATGCAGATGGATCAGATAAAGACAGACTGGAGGAAAGGGTTTGATCAGATAACGACGTCCAGCCAAGGCGCACAAGAGGGTAACTCACCACCAGGGTGCTTTTAGACGGGTGCACAGACCGTATGATTGGACAGAATGCAGTAGCTAGTAAGGAATTGAAATGACCGAGGACCGTGTTTCTTTAGGCCGAACAGTGGATACTCGTCTGACAGTCGAATGATGAAGAGAATAGGAGAAGGAAGGTCAAGAGCATTTACGATTCCCCAGCATCGACTGCCTAGGGCTAAGGTACATGTGCGGTAATGTAAGCAAGTTCTTTACAATCCGGGCCGTGGGTGCATGTGTGTGGATGATCTCGGCTTCATCAATTGAATTCGTGCCTGATATTCTAAAACCAGCATAGTCCCGATGCTGCGCACATTTTTTGGACTTCATATCGTTGGGTACCCTGGTGGGTTCATCGGTGATATTTTGGTTGTTATGCACCTGTTAGGGTAACTCCCTCCAATTGCTTACTGTAGCTACCTCAAATATGCTCAAACTGGTGCAAATAAATATCCTGGTAACAGCTGCCAAGCTCTGCGGCCACTTTTCAATATCACAATGAATGACTTCATCTCTAGATTCGGCGAGACCCTCAAAACAAAAAATGAATCTATGATCATATTTTATCAAAGATTCCGTTGCGGTGTAGAATGAAAGGCGTCGTGTACAGTTCCTGTCCGGTGGTTGATCATTGCCTCCTACGTCCTTTTGCCAAGACCAAACAGAATACGGTACCTGTAACGCTACTGGTACTACCGTAGTTGGGATAAACATAAAGTCCTCCAAACAAAAGAGTTCAGATCG